ATAATAATACAGCCTAGTTTTTGTCTTTGTTTTTTAAAATGTTGTATTTAAATAACTTTTTATTAACAAATAAATAAATATTTTATCAACAATTTTATATTATTAATTTTACTACTTTAAGTATATTAAAATATATAAAAAACTTGTTTTTATTCAAATTTTTTCCTAATATTTATCCTTTGCTAATAGAAACCAGCACCTTTTTACTTTAATGTTTTTAGCTTTAACAACCCTGAACCTTTTCACTCTACCCCATATAATGTTCACTCTATCCAATTTAATGTTCACTCTACCCCATGTAATGTTCACTCTATCTCTACTTTCTTATTTTTGTGCAGCTATTATTTCTAATTATAGCTATTTCTTTCATCTTTTCCACAAAAACAATCCCCTGAAGAACAAACCCCTTTTTATTATTGCAAGAAATTAATAAAACAAGGAATTGTCATATACTAAGGTTGGGTTATTAGATTGTTATATTTTTTATTTTATCTTAGAAATTAAATTCTTGAGATTTGTGAAAAATCTTTAACAATGTTATTAATATCGGCATCTCTAACATTCCATCTTTCAAACATACATGAGTCTGATCTAATTACTTCTTTTAAAGATAAGGCAGATTTATTTGTAAAGAACTTTTCAACTAATGCATCTCTTGAATTTTAAAAAAATTGCTAATTTTCCCACTTAAACTCATTTACAAGTTGTGGTCTTGACAACATTTCTATCCTTGTCTAACAAAAGTATTCTATAGAACTCTCTTCTTTTCTCTCTAAACAATTTAATAACTGTTAGCTGAACATTGTATTACTGCCTGCTGGAAAATGTCATTTGTAATTCCAGTTTTTAAAAACTTATTTGATGGCTCTGACCCCCTTTAACTATTGCCCAATCTTCTTACTATGATTAGCAAAGCCTTTGAATTAATTTACAAACTTCTAATATCGTTTTGAGTAAAGCAACTCTCTGACAATCAATAAACATTAGTTATTTATAACATTTATATATATATATATATATATATATATATATATATATATATATATATATATATATATATATATATATATATATATATATATAAATATATATATATATAACATTTATATATATAACAATTTCTTTTTTAATTGCGCTTATCATGTTCTTACTTTTGACTCCATTCTGCTTAATACATTTTTTATTTGTCTTTATACTGTTGTCATGTTTGGGCTGGTTCTTCTAATGAAACCCTCTCCTTTTTGAACAAAGTCTAAAATGTAAAAGTTGTTAGACTTGCTTTTGCTACTAACTTTGACACTCTATTCCATCATTATAAGGTTGTATCTCTTTTTCTTTTCTAAAAATACCACCTATTATTAATACCTAATATAACTATTGGCCATATAATATATGTTATGAATAATAAATTTTAAAATTCATTTCATAACATATATTTTTTAATTATATTTGTATCTGCACATTTCATGCATATTTATTACCATATTAGTGTATTATCAACATATTAGGTACATAAAAAAATACAGATTTATCTACATATATACTTAAATATCTGTGGCTTGTAGAAGAAGTAGAAGTAGAAGAGATTTTTCGATTTTCAAGCCAAACATATAAGTGTGTGTGTAAACATCAGGTGCAAATCCAGGAAGTTATTTGGGTAAATCTGATTTTTTTAAGCAACCTCTAACCCCTTCCCACCTCCTTCCCCCCCCCCTCCTTACAATATATATATATATATATATATATATATATATATATATATATATATATATATATATATATATATATATATATATATATATATATATATATATATATATATATATATATATATATATATGTATATATATATATATATATATATATATATATATGTATATATATATATATATATATATATATATATATATATATATATATATATATATATATATATATATATATATATATATATATATATATATATATATATATATACATTGCCCCATTTTGTTAAAAAAAAAAATTAAAATCTTCTTCTAAAATGGTGATGTTGATGTCACAAACAGCATTATATTTGAACCCAACTTAAAAATACAATTATTTCCAATAGTTGCTTTATGACAAATAACATTTTATAAGGATACATGACTACAAAAATAGCTGCCTCTATTTATTAGTGACAAAAAAAGCTGACTTTTTCTTGTAATTTGTTTTTTATTTTTTATATTAAATTTAATAAGTTTTTTTTTCATACTATATATTAATTTTAACATTGTTTTAAAGCTAAAAGAATTTGATTTCAATTATTAGTACCAAACTTATTGATGTTTTTTTTTATCTATTACCAACTCTGTACAAATATTCATCAAAGCTAAACCATTTTTGGTGGTGGTTCTGTAAGTGAATAAAATGTGCACTCACATTCACATGAAGTTAATGGAAAAGTAGCAAGTAAATTTTTAATGTTTTCACAAGCAGGAAAATTTATCATTTTTAACTACTCACTAATATTAAAATGGATATCACCTTTTTAAATGTAACCAAAAGGATTTGCATAAATGAAGCTCACAAGGTGAAGCATGGGAATTTAGTAAATCTATTCCATAAAAGTCACTAATAGATTTGATGGAATCCTTCTAGAGTCATGAAAAATTTTAAGTTCTTGAAAAGTATCCAAAACAAAAATAAACATTTTCTCCTAACATTCTGCAAAAATGTTTTAATTGCTTTTTTAACAGCCAACAGAACAGTACTTTCAGTATGTTCTTTTAACATTTGTTGCCTTGTAGTAAGAGTTTAAAAAGTCCTCATTAATGTGTGCCAAAAGATACTTGATATATTGCATTTTGTATGAGGCACAAATAGCTAAATTAGATTTGTGACTGTTGCAATTGTTTTTCATTAAGATTGAAAATACAAGCGGACAAACCTTTAATGTGACCATCAATCAAGCACCATCATATCAAGCACCATCATATCAAGCACCATCATATCAAAGCCCTCTGTAAATATAAAGTAATCCTTAACTAATAACAACTCAACTAATAATGCCATTTAAGCAATCTAAAAAACTGACAAGTTCTCTTTTTGAGCTTTTAATCAACAAAACAAATAATTAATAATAGTTGTTCATTACTTTAACTGTCCGAAACCTCATCAGCAAAAATAGAAAAATGTCTAAATTTTAATATTTTTTTTTATTATTGTGTAGTAATAACTTCTCTAAAACGATGATGTGATGTCTTAGATATGTAAGAAGCATTTTTTTATGATAATATCAAAGTTGATCTTGAAGAATATTATCACCAACTTTAACACAGAAATATTGCAAACACTTGTTTTTTTTTAAGAAAACTAAATACTTTACAAGAATCGACAAGACTCATAACTTTACTAGAAATAATATTTTTCTGTATTATAGTTTTCAAAGAGATTAATTTTGTTTTATCATTTTGTAGCATGATATTTTCAACTTTATGATTAAGCGACATTTTAGATTAACACTTTTAACATCTGACATTATGCGACATTTTAAGTATCATAATAAACCTTAAATATTTCAGGGTGTAAGTGTTGTGGTACGTCCAACAGTATTTTTTTATAAATAAAATCAAATACTTAAAAGTTACTTAAGAGATGTCGATTGGTGTATTTTGTCATGTATTTCATCTCTTGATTATCGCAAAACAAAGGATTTTGACTAAAATTTTACTTAGGGTGTACTAATTTGGGGACGTCCAAAGTTTGTTATAAGTAAAGAAATAGATATCTTGCTTTTTTAACAAAACAAATAAAAAAATTTATCGTTCAATAAATTAATATTGGGGATGTCCATTGATCTTTCTAATTAAATTTTATCTATTAATTATAACTTTAACCTCCAGTTAAGAAATTTATTTTTGTATAAACTTGAAAAAATACTCTAAACAAGAAGCAATTATTTTTTTTACATTAGTGTTTATATAACTTAAATTCAATAATAAAACTTAAATCTAATTTACGTGACGGTTAAGTAAAAAATTATTTTTATATGCACTGTTAAAATGTTATATCATCTTTTTTTTTTTAAATTCAATTTTATTTTTGGTGCGTCTACAGACATACTAGGCGTACCCTAGATCTGCCCCTACATATATACACATGTACATGATATATAAACATATATACTTAATATATAAACATACAAGTATATATTTTTGTACATACATAGGTATGTACGTATATTTAATTCTGTGTTTACATTTATTTATGTATACATGGTGTATACATGTATTGATATGGATATACTATAACTATGCTGTTGTAGATGTTATTTATGCAAGATATTAAATAAAAACATTTATGTTTATTTTTTTGAGAGTATAATTTCCTTAATATAAAATTTAAACAATATGATAAAACAGATTAACTACAAACAAAAAGTTAATTATGTTAAAAATTAATAACTTCTAATTTTAACTATGGGCCGAAAAACCCTCAGACTTACCCTTTTGAAATTTATCCAGATTTTATAAAATTACTTTTTGAAACCTACAGGACAAATACTTTTATGTTCAAAAGGTATTATATGAGTGCCATAACATAAAACCTGGCGGTCTTCTTGGTTCACAATGAAATGTGAAAATAAAAGTTTTGAAGTAAAGAAGAACAAATGTGAAAATAAAAAATTTTAAGTAAAGAAGAATAATTGTAAGTTTATTCTTCTTTAAAAGTTTTTAAGTAAAGAAGAATAAATGTGAAAATAAAAAAATTTTATGTAAAGAAGAATAAATGTGAAAATAAAAGTTATCAAAGTTGAAAACCTAATAAAAATTGTCTTTGTACACTTTTTGTACCTACTACTTCCAATGTCACCAAAAGTTATTAATTAGTATAATAAATGTAAGAATTGGCTAATATTAATAAAACTGCATGTAAAAATAATTATAGCAACCTAAAAATTTTTTAAACTTTTTTTAAATTTATATTTTGATCAGTACGTGTAAGCTATTCTTTTTTAAAAATAAATAGTTTTTTAGAACAATGATTTGATTATGGCATTAGATGATTATAAGAAAGCACACAACTTGCTACCCAATGATTTTTCTGCTATGTTAAAAGTAGCAGTGTGTCACTTCAATTTAAGGTCTGCTTTTGATAAACTTTTTTAAGCTAAATTAGATGTTAATATATAACTTTAAAATATGAAAATTTTTAGATTATGGGTGACTGCTTTAAGTTACTTCACAGAGCTTCTCAATCTTAATCCAAAATATTACCAGGCATACTTTTATAGAGCTAGAGTCAATATAAAATTGGTAAGAATATTTGCCTAAAATTTTGAAGTCTTATAAAAAGTTTCCATGTCTTAGCTTACTAATATTTTCATTTTGTTTAGAACCATTTTGAAAATGCTTTGTCTGATTTATCAATTTGCTTACATCTATCACCAAATCATTATGAAGCATTTTACTATAGAGGATTTATTCTTCAAAAGTAAAAATTTTTTTTTTGTTGTTTTCGTTTCTTTTTGCTTAGTTTTAATTGTATTTGGAAATATTTGTTGCAAAGTATATTAAATTATTTGTTTTAATTTTTCAGAAATTCAAGAAAACAAGCTATCAAAGACCTAAGTGTTTCTTTATTGATTAATTCAAATAAAGAAAATATAAATGCATTTATTCAAAGAGGAATAGTTTATACAATATTAAAAAAGTAATGTTCTAGAATTTTTTTTTATTTGTGTTACATACTTATTTGACTTTGATGAAGATTTTTTTTTCAGATTTCAGCAAGCGTTAGTTGATTTAAAATGTGCTCTGGTATTAAACAGTGAATATCCACTTGTTCATTTTAATCTTGGCTTGATAGATATTAATTATAATAATAACGCACCTTTGTAAGTAACGTATATTTAAGTAAATAAAGTATTATTAAATATTAAGTAAAGTATATTTAAACTTTATATATATGTGTGCTTTTTAACATTAAATTTAAAAAACTTTTACATCCAGTGTTATTTTATCATATAGAACACATTAAGGTGCATGTTGCAGATATTTTTCAAAAATCTTATTTTTTGAACCACCCAACCATATAGACACACACACACACACACACACACACACACACACACACACACACATAATATTTTAAAAGTTTGTAAGATGTTTTTTTCATTTAAAACTGAACTAACCAAAACTTTCAGTTAATATATCTACACTAAAAAATCACGCTTCTTTAAAATCATTTCAAAAAAGTTCCTAAAAAATCATTTTTTTAAATTTCCTAAAAAATTATTCAAAATTGCTATATTTCAAAAAAATGAAATTAAATTTTAACTACTCAGAATAATTTTGTCAACTTTTGTCTTTGTTGCATTTTGAGAGACATTGCTAATCAAAAATTTTGGAAAAAAAAAATGAAACTGCTCTATGTGTACTATACATAGAGTAGTTTCATTTTTATTAAATTCTCTATACTATAAGATTTTGAATTGTTCTGTTGAAGCCTACATGGTGTCTATTTGTCATGAAATATTAATTTTCCTCAATCTTTGTGTTAGTGTGGCTAAGATATCAAATTAAAAAAATTGGATAAAAGGTAAGATATTAAATACATCACATCAAATACATCAATATGTACTTAATGTAATTGGCTAATTAAAAATAGAAAAACATTAGGACCGCATTACAGAAAAATAAACGGTCTTACATTGCTTAAAAAAAATGAAAAATTAAAAACGTTGAACTAGAAACATTAAAGATATTCCTAAATTAATCTCAAATTATCGCAAGGGGTTAAGGCAGGGTGTTAATAAAACACATAAAGTATCTTAAGGAGACAGGTAAAATAATTGAAACTAAAATATTTTATTTTATTTAATAGGAAAGAATTAATATAAGAATATTAAAAGTATTATAATGATTTATGTTTAATGCAAAGGTTTTGCCAGATAAACACATGATTGAATTTTGTTAATTAGAAGAAAGGTTTCTTTCTAAATTCAATTAAAGTAGCTATTTTTTTAATGTTAAAAAAATAGGAAAAAAATCCCTGTTACTATCTGGACCATATAGTAGCTATCCTGACTAACTACACACCACCTATAGGTCCTAAAATTATATATATTAATATTTAACCTAAAAGTTAAATATTAATAAATGGTTTTAAAATTATTAATATTATATATGGCTAAAAAATGATTAAGTCCTAACAATGTAACTGATTGGTTCTAAGAAATTGATCAAAATATAGAAGTGATCAGCTTAGATTCTAAAAATTCTCTGATTGTTTTTGGTAAGATAATGGATTAACAACAAATCTGGACAAATTTATTGGAAGAAAATGATTTTGGTCATTTTGCAATTAGTGTTACATTTGAGTGGTGCTGATCATTTGCTAATTAAGAATATGATTTTCAGTAGTATCAGTAGGTGACTTTCAGTAGTAGATGACTTTCAGTAGTAGGTGAAGAAATCTTTTAATCCATGATCACGTGCACATATGTAAATGTGATCATGACTTGGATGATGATGTTTTAAAAAGAATAATAATTTTAAAAAGTTTTTTTTTTTCCAAATATGGTTCACTTCCAATAAGGCTGCAAGCAACCACTATTAAGAGGGGAGAAACTAGAAGAAAAAAAAAAGTTATAGAACAAGAAAATGGTTGACAAAAGACTTGAAAAGTTGTAGGTTACATGAGTCAGGAAAACATAAAGATGGAAGAGAGTTTTCAATGCATTTTTTGACTTCGTCTAATAGAGAAAGAGCATCATTAGAAGAACCAGCCTATAATAACAGTATTCTAACAGTACTCTCAAAAACTTAGCTAATATTAGAGACAAGACTAATTGAGCGATACTTGGAGGGGTCAGAATTTTCACTGCAGTTTCAATTGGAACAACAGATCCCATTTTCCAGCAGGCAGGAAAACAAGACTAAGTAAAGCACTTAATAAATAATTTAGAGAGAATTGAAGTAAGTTATGGAGAACAACTTTGTAAGACTATGACAGGAATGTTATCTGGACCATAGCCATAGAAAAGTTTATTTGAGATATGAGATAGTAACAAAAACTGGAGTGATTTGAATGTCTAACAACAGTTTAACCTGTTTAATTGGAATCAAAAGAAGAGAATAGTTATCAAGTTCAAGAGTCGAATTAGAAAAAAAGCTCTTTGCAAATAGCTCTACCTTATCGTTGAGAGAAGTAATAAGATTAGTCCCATGAATGAGAGATGGAATGTTAGACCTAACTTTGTTAATGACAATGTCAAAGATTTTGCTTAAGTCTCTAGAACCTAACTTCTGAGTTCAAGATTAATAAACTGAGAATAATGAAGCTTAGCATCAGACAGCACCTTTTTACATTGATTACTTGCAATAATAAATAGCTGTTTGTTCTTGAGAGAGTTGTTCTTTTGAAAAAGAAAAAAATGATTACAATAAAATATAGCAGCTGCACAAGATGGTGAACACCATAGAGTAGAATAAGGCTTGGCTTGAAACTGTCAAGAAGGAATAAAAGCTTCTTTCCTGCCTGAACCTTGGTGGTTACATATGTGGTACATTTATCAGCTGAGAGAGAAAAGACATTATACTAAGAACTATCACAAAGAAAATCATAAAGAGAATTACTCAGTTTTAGGGTAATGCAATTATAGGTTGAGTCAGAAAAAGAAGTACAACATGAAAGATTTATAGAAATCATTGCATAGTCAGAACCACCTAAGGGAGAAAAATGAGAAACTGAAAACAAGCTAGGGTTAGATGCTAGACATAAATCAAGAAGTGAAGGTAAATGATAAGGGTTGTTAGGAAAACGAGTCAAAAAGTTAACTATCTGAGTAAGAGATAGAGAAATGCAGAATTTATAGGCTTTAGTGTCAGCAGGATCAGTGGCATTAGAGCCAAGCCATTTAGTGTGATGAGCATTAAAGTCAGCAATAACAAAAATATTGGCAGAGTGGTAAAGAGAAAGAGCAAGGTCAATTTGATTAAAAATTACATTTAAGTTTTGTTATGATAAAGAACAAAGAGAAAGGTGATAGAGTGAAGAGGTGTTAAGCAAAAGTACATAAAAGTATGGTCAAAGGATTCAAACCTGATTTCATGATAAGTAGGTGAATCGATGCTTATGTATACCCCAAGCCAAGCATGTGACTTTAGAGACTTTGCAAATCAAAGGTTAGTACCCATCAACACTGAGGTCTGAAGAAGGAATTGAAGAATTCAAATTAGTCTCACAAAGAGCAAGCAACTTTAGAGAATTTTGCAGGAGGTAAGATTTAACTGATGGGAGGTTGCTTTGCAGACCAGGAATATTTGTAAAAGATATATTTAACAGTTTGGTGATGGGTAATGTTTTTTATGTTTAATATTTTGCATTACTTTTAGTATGATTTAAGTTTAAAGAGAACTTGACTCATTCATAGATACAACGCGGCCTCCTAAGCAATGAGCTATGCAGTTGTCTCAGTTCTGTTAATTAACAATAAGTTGTAATATATAGCTCCTTATGTGTCCTTAACAATGTGCACCAAAAGAATTAACAGGGACATCATTCATATGCAACATGACACTGTTAATACTTTGATATTTTGCAGCTGTTGATGGAATCAGCTTCTCTGAGAGCTACTACAGAGTTTGGGAAACCTTACTACCAACTGGCTTCAGAACCATCAAACTGATTTTGAGAACTGTACCTTCATTAGAAAAAGTTGCATAGCCGCTTTCAAAGAGGAACATGCAAAATCTATAATTAAAGTCAATAAAATCCGGCATTCATTATAATAGGCAGGAAGCAATGTAACACAAGTTTATATTTACGCCAGCCTACTAGATGAAGAAGGTGTTCAAGGCTGGTTATAAAAATTATTCTTTTGACTCAAGCTACTTTTATATGTAGTTAAGAAACAAGATAAATCATTATATTGTTGATTCCAACATCTAATTAAACTTCTTTATCCACTAAGAAGTCAAACCGTGGTTAAGAATGCATTAATGAAATCTATTGACAATGGTAGGATTTTTAGATTATTCTGAGTTCTATTTTATATTTCTACTTGAAAGGTTATCAAAGGAAAATTTAGTTTTAGTGTTCAACATAACTTTAAATGTATGGAGGAGATTTCAATTTAGGTGATGTAAATGTTAGATATTAGCCTGCAGTTTTTATACTTTGCCTTTCAATGATTTTATAAAATGGAATACTAAACAAATCTTCAAGTTAAATTACATGATAACAAATCTTTAAGTTAAATTAAACGATAACAAATCTTTAAGTTAACTTTGCATCATGTTTTATAATAGCTTGTTTTTAGATAAAATATAGCTTTTGATAGATTTGTCAGAGCCAGAATAAACCAGAGATTTTGTTCCAAATCTGAAGATAAATATAGATTTAATGAAACTATTTAATAAATTTTAAAGGCTAATATTACCAAAAAATTTGTTTTTTATAATGAAGTGTTTTTCTAAACTATATAAAGGCAAGAGCGTAGACAACTATTATTAGTTATGGAAATAATAATAATATTAATAATAATAATAATAATAATAATAATAATAATAATAGCAATAATAGTAATAGTAATAATAATAACAACAACAACAACAACAATGATAACAATAATAATAAATAATATTTTTACTATTATATTTATTAATATTGTTATAATTATAATTATTATAATTGTTATTATTATTATTAATAATATTGTTATTATTGTTATTAATACTATTTTTTAGTTTTTTATTAAATGATTAAATCTAATTTAGAATTTTTATTCATAATGCATTTTTATTCATAATACATTTTTTTTTAACTCATTGTATAGACGTTAAAAGTTTAATCTATTTTTTGAAAAGTCATTGTATAGACATGTTAAAAGTTTAATCTATTTTTTTTAAACTTCTTTGTAAATCTTGGTCTATAATATATTCTAGGTGTGTATATGTGTGTATATATATACTAAGGTGCCAATTAAAACAACTTTTTTTAAAAATGTTTACTTTTACCCCCAAATTGTATTCTATATAATAAACTGAAACTGGATAACAAAAATAAGATTTTAAAAATTAAACTTAGGGTTCCTCAAGATCTTTGAACATTTATTAATTACCATCAAAAAAAAGTTCTTCAAAAGTATAAGAGTCTTAAAAAGAGCTAAATAATTTTAAAAAAAATAATCATTTTAATAAAGAATATGTTAAAAAAAATTAATTATCAGAAAATGCACTTTTTCCATTTTTAATTTTAAAAAAAAAACAGTTTTTTTTCAATAAAATCTAAAATAATCATTTTTTATATATATAAAATAATTAATATTTATAAAATTTGAATATAATTTTACTTCTTTTGAGTCCCAGGTTGACATATTTTTGAAGATCTTTTAGCATGATGTAATTGACAACTATTCATGCGCAAATAAATCCTTAATTAATGATATGCGTGTGTATTTCTGTATTTGCACATAAAAATTTTATTAAATATTCTTATAACAATTGTAATAGAGCATTGAAGAGATTCAGTTTTGCATTGTTACAAGATCCAACTTACATACAAGCATTGATTTGTCGTGCAGAAACATTCATTCTTTTAAATAATGTAAACAAATTTTCATTATAACTTTTTTTTGTCTTTTGACAAATTTTTTTGATATTTGATTTTTTTTTTGTTTTTTTTTGTTTGTTTTTTTGTTTTGTATATAGATTGATGCAGCCATCATAGATTACACACGAGCTATTCATTTAAATCCTTTAAGCAAATCTTTTAAAATTGCAAGGGTAAATAAATTCTTTTATTTTTAATCAATGTTTTTTATCATGTAATTAATTTTTCATCTGTTTTTAGGGTTATCTTTTGCTTAAAAAACAACAATATGATCAAGCCATTTTTCATATAAAGTATGCTTTTTAAATGTGATTTATTGTACATATATTCAATTTAATGTATTTATTTGTTAAAAAATTTGTTAAGAATTATTTGTTTAATGTATCAAGTTAATGCACTCAAATCTTTCAACCTAGAAACTTATTCATAGATATTTATTGGTAACTGTTAGCAACCAGTTGTAGCTGTTAGTAACTCAACCAGAAATAACTGTTAATAACTTAACCGATAGTAACTTAATAATACCAAATGATAAGCATATAGCTAGGGAAGGCAATCCTGGGATCATCAAATTTAGCTAAGGTGTCCTATTTATTTTTGTAACAGCTACAAGTAAAAATCCATTTTTATAAGAAATTAGCATTTTTATTTTATAAAGTATATTTTACATGTTTGTACAAAAAAATAATATCTTGTACATTGTATAAGATATTTGATATGATTATTTCAGACATTATAAATAATACATGTATTATAATGTTAAAAATCAATTTATTTGACGAATTTCAGCAGATATCATTTTCCTGTTCAAACTTATGTAACAGAGGAAACAGATTAATGCTGACATACAATAAAAATATTTTTGTTTGTTTCTAGTCATATTTTTTTATTCATAATCATGTTGATAATGTCCACCAACTCCTCTGCCGCTTTATCCTTACTCTAAGTTCTAGGACCCTACTACCCCACCCTACTGTCTGCCATTAAGTTCTTGTTATATTGTTAATCAATACGCTTAAAAGTACAGTTTATTCATTTTTATATTTAACTTTATAAATGTTTAAATCAATTCTTTGTTCAAACATTTGAATATTTCAGAAAAATGGGAAAAGCTAAAGCTAAAAAAAGAGCTGTAAAGCTAATCAATTGCAAACAAGGAGGTCATTAGGGAGGGTTTGATTGCAGCAACCACACCAACTTGTATGAGAGCTGGTATCAGTATAAGAGATCAAACTCTATTTATCTCTAGCATTGTAAATTATCTTGAAGGAGATATCACAGAGTTAAGGATAAGCAGAGAAGAGGCAGAAGATAAAATTAGAAGAGGCAGATACAAACAATTTCATTCTGAAGGTAACAAATTATACTGTTTTAACATTTTAGCTTTTAGATTGTAATAATATAAAAATCTGTTTTAGATTGCTGGTTGATAAAGTTATTAAATTTAAAGGTAAAAATCTGTTTAGGTTGTAAAATCCATAATGAGTATACGGAAACAATGAAGAACAAACCATTGGTGCTACACTTTGATGGAAAAATGGTAAAGCACTTAGAAGAAGAATTGAGGAAAAGAGTTCTTATTAAAAGACCAGCAGTATCAGTTACAAGTCCTGAGTTTTTGTCAAACAATGATTTACTTCTTGGAGTTGTTCCTGTGGACAATGGAAAAGCTAATGATATGGCTATTGTACTCCAGAATCTGATAGAATATTTTGAAATATCAGAGATTATCATTGCTGTGTGCACTGACACGACAGTTATAAATACAGGAAAAAAATCAGGAGCAATTTTAACTTTAGTCAGAGTTTTGGGACAATTAGTTCTCTGGCTCTTGTGTTGGCACCATATTTCAGAGATCCATATAAAATGGGGAATCAAAGCTATTTTTAAAGAGCAAACTGTGGGACCTAAACAGATTTATAAGATTTAAAGCAGGCTTGGATGATAGTTATTACCCTATTGTTAGTAAAGCAGGAGAACAAATTCAAGAAGTTTCCCAAAAGTAAGCTGGTTGTTGGAAGTGATCTTCACAGTTTATATCTCAAGTCTAAGAAATTCATTGCTAATTTGCTTGCGTATATTGTTTTTCCTAGGAATGATTAGAATCACTTGGTAAAATACCTTGCATTGTATATGAATATCAATTCACCCAAGCTTGAAAAGTTTAGTTTGTACCAACCAGGTGCTAACCATAATGCCAGATTTATGTGTGACAGCATCTATTTAGGGCTTCTGGATATTATGTCTCCTATTATTAACTTCTTGAGTGATGATCAGAAGACTTTAGTCTCTAAGGCTAACTTTATTGTTGCCCTATACTTTGCTCCTTCTTTTCTTCAATCCAGCAAAGCTGAACATGCAGTAGTAAATGACCTTGAGGCATATAAAGCTGCAAAAATCATCCAAAAGGTTTGGATTATGATGTTAATAGTGCTTTATTAAAAAGTCTTCAAAACCATACTTGTTATCTTTTCCCAAAGTGTGTTACTATGGCGTTGGCTGATCCTGATCATTGACATTTTACATTCCTTGTATCTAACAAGATTTAGGCTTAGAAGCTCCAGAGAGGGTGTCCATCTCAGAGTCTACTAAATTAGAAGACCTAATTACAGAGGAAAGTTGGCTTCTGTTTATTATTACCAACACTACTAGTGTTGTCAGGAAGTGGTATCAGGCTGAGGGAGACTTGGAGGATCTTGCATCTTATAAAGACTTTTGTAGCTTTGTATGTGGGTTAAGTGTCACTAATGATTGTGCAGAAAGAAACATTAGTCTTATCCAAGAATATGTTAATACATCCCACAATGAAAGAAAATATTTATGGGAGGGACTCTTTATATGGCATATAATGGATAGGAAACTTTAGCATGTTCAAAATCTTTTTTTTTGCATTTTTGGGTCACCCTAATATATATATATATATATATATATATATATATATATATATATATATATATATATATATATATATATATATATATATATATATATATATATATATATATATATATATATATATATATATATATATATATATATATATGTATATATATATATATATATATATATATATATATATATATATATATATATATATAGTATAATATTAAAACTAGCATATTACAAAAAACAAATAAAATTTAAGAGCTTGCTAATGGAAAGAACAAGAGTTTTTAATAGAAGGTATACCTTAATCTAATTTCGAAATTTCTGCTTCTGAAAATGTGCGCGATTTTAATTTCATTATTATATCCATTCATTTTAATTCGATACGTGTGTGTGATTCAAATTCCATTTTTATTAATTTCATACGTGTGTGTGATTCAAATTCCATTAATTTTAATTTCAAATATATGCGTGATTGACGAGTTTTTTTAAACATCAATTTAATTAATAAAGTTATCAAAAAATAATTTATTAAATTTAAAAATTTTTTTAGCGTTTATTTAATTAATGAAGTCTTGCATATTTATATTATTTTTTAATTGTTATTTTAATTTATACTGTGTTACCATTTTAAAGTGTTATTTTATAATTTAAAGTACATTAATTTCATTAATTATTTAAAAATCTTAGATAAGTTTTAATACAACAAAATTAAGTTAAAACGTTTTTAACTTAATTTTAAGTTCATTATTGTATTAAATATTTTGGTTATACTAATATTAAATTATTCATTTTTAAGTGTTTGATGAGTACTTAAAAAGTATTCAATTACCTTTTTTCTATTCAATCCCAGGAATTCTCGGGGACAAATTTCTCAATCTCGAAATTCCGAGATTGAAAATTTCCAGGATTTTTGCCATCCCTACATATAGTTGTAGTATGTTTGCTGAATATTTTCTAAAGGGTTAGGTTATGGTAAATTTATATTCATCCATTCGTTTAGGCAATGTGCAATGATAAATTTTGTTGATAAAACAACTTATGAACAAGTAGTTATGGAAATATTTTTCAAAAATTTTGATGCGGTAAAGTATTGTTTTTACTTTTGTGGAATCAGAAATTTATTCTAATGGTTTTGCAGTAGAAAATCAGTAAGATTGAAGTCTGATAATCAACAACAGTGAGATCTGGTATTTAAGTACGAGTTTTAGTTATTGCAAAATGAATTCTTATTAATAGGCAAATAATCAATTGGAAACTAATCTTGCAAATAATCATGATGTTAAGTTGCTTTCTTTGTTGGGTAAAAGTAAAATGAGGGAGAAAGAGTTTTTACAAGCACTGGAAACTTTTAAAAGTGTTTTATTTGTAAGTTTTTTAAATTTTTGTACTTATATCACTTTCTAATTGTGTATTAAAACAGTATGCTTATAATTAAGCATAACTGTTTTGACAATTTTTTATAGAAACTCACTGAGTCAAATTTAAACTGCTCTAAGGAATCATCTTTAATACATTTGAACATAGCTCTTTGTCATATCCAATTGAATGACTATAAAAAAGCATTAATTTCTTTAAACAATGCTTTAAAAGCTGATAACAAATTTTTTAAGGTAATTATCTTACCAGAGATTGAAAATTTTTGTTTGTTTGAGGTTTTTAATATTTTTTATTTTTTTACTAGGTTCACTATTTGCTAGGTATAGTTAAAATGAAACTGCGTTTTAATTCACCAATTGTCGATTTTAATCATTGTCTTGCTCTTAACTCTTTATTTTACCAAGTAAATTATGTTAAAATATTACATTATATAGATAAAATGCTTATAATTATACTTTTTAAATTATTGTACCATTGCTTATAACTATTTTTAATTATTTAGGCTTATTTTGGTTATGCTCTTCACTATGGTTCAAATAAACAATATACTAAAGCTATCTTGAGTTGTAATAAAGCTTTACTAATAGAGGCTCAGAGTATTGCAGTTCTTATTTACAGGTAGAGGTATTGCAATTCTTATTTATAGGTGGTTTCCAATATTTGTTTGAAGATTTACCAAAATACATTTTAAAATAAAGAACATAGTAAAAAAAATTTAAATAATGTTGTTTTTTTTTTTTTTTGCTTTTTAAGTTTGTTTGTAATAATTTTTTTATAGTTTGTTTATGTATGTATATATATGTGTATATTTATATATGTATATAATCCTGGCAGCCACCTGCTGCCAGGATTATATGCATTGTTTCCAGCTTAGGATGTTGAATGCTGGATCTTCTTGACTCGATGCATGGGTTTTGCTTGTGTCTCTGTTTTTATGACTAGGCAACTCATTCTATTATCTCCTAATGAGGGTACAGCTCTAAAACTCAGTTTTATGGTTCTGAGGCCGGCTGGTAGTTAGGTTTCCCAAACTCTGTGGTAGCTCTCAGAGAGGCTGATTCCATCAACAGATGAAAAACATCAAAGCATTAACAGTGCCATGTTGCGCATAGATGGTTTCCCTGTTTGTACTATTAGTGTGCATTGCCAAGGCCACATTGGAGCCCTATGTTACGGCTTAGGGTTAATTAATAGTAATGAAGAAATTGCTTGGGCTATTAAACAGTGTACTGAGTACTATCTATGTTTCAAGTCAAGTTCTTTAACAAATTTAAAAATGAATAAAGTAACAAAAACTATAAAACACAAAAAGCCACAGTCATCATCAGTTTGGCATGCTGGTCTTCTCCATAAGCTATCAACTTACGGTGTATCTGGAAACATCCTTAAGATTATTGAATCCTTCCTTTCCAATTGTAGTATAAAAGTTGTCCTTGATGGACAGCACTCTTCTTCTTATTCTGTAACCTCAGGAGTTCCTCAAGGTTCAATCCTTGGCCCTATACTCTTTTTAATTTACATTAACGATCTTCCAGATATTCTCACATCTAAAGTGGCATTGTTTGCTGATGATACTACCATTTATTTTTGTCATGATAAAAAGTCAACTCTCTCTGATTGGAGGGGGCATTTGAGCTTGAAAAAGATTTCATTTCTGCTACAGCATGGGGCTCACAGTGGCTGGTGAACTTTAATTTAGATAAAAATCAATTTTTTTCGGCCAATCGTTGTCGCAATAATTTAGATCTTCCTATATTTATGAACGGTAATGTACTTGATAAGTCATCTACCCTTCATCTTCTAGGATTAACTCTTACTTCTGATTTTTCTTGGAAACCATATATTAAATCCGTTGCAAAATTAGCATCTGCTAAAGTTGCATCTCTTTATCAAGCTCGACATTTTCTTACTCTGGATTCTATTCTCTATCTCTATAAATCTCAAATCCGGTCTTGTATGGAATACTGTTACCATATCTGGGGCGGATCTTCTAATGATGCTCTTTCTCTTTTAGACAAGGTGCAAAAACACATTGTAAACATAGTTGGACCTGCTCTTGCAGCCAACCTTCAACCATTATCACATCATTGTAATGTTGTTTCTCTTTCTCTTTTCTAGAAATACTATAATTGGGAACTGCTCTAAAGAGCTAGTGTCTCTTGTGCCATCTACTAAAATTCATTCTCGTGTTACTCGTCATTCAATTAAGTCTCATCCTTTTTCTTTTACTGTTCCTAAGTGCTCCAAAAACTCTTATTCGTCTAGTTTTTTTCCTCGAACATCAGTTCTTTGGAATTTGCTTCCTTCATCTTGTTTTCCTGATTTATGTAATTTGCAATCTTTTAAGTCGTCTGTCAATCGTTATCTTGCTCTACAATCTTCACCTTTTCTCTTCCAGTAACTTCCGACACTAATTAGTGGTTGCTTTCAGCCTTGTTGGAAGCGAAGATGTTAAAAAAATATATATATATATAAATATGTTATATATACATATATATATATATATATATATATATATATATATATATATATATATATATATATGTATATATATATATATATATATATATTTATGTAAGTATGTATGTATGCATGTATATATATATATATATATATATATATATATATATATACATATATATATATATATATATATATATATATATATATATATATATATATATATATACATATATATATATATATATATATATATATATATATATATATATATATATATATATATATATATATATATATATATATATATATATACGAATATAAATTAGTAAAAACACTTACCTAATTTTTAGTTGTCTAATTTATAGTTTCACCATCAGGAGGTTCATCAGGAAGATGAACCTGCTAATGGTGAAGCATGCTTCCTGATGAACTTACTGATGGCGAAACATGCTGTTCAAGACATTAGTCATAGACATTATTAATAAATTAATTTTTACTAATTTATTATTGCTCTGTTCTTCAAGAATATTAAGCACTCTATTTTTAGAATACACTAACATAATCAAGCTGTAGGTTCTTTATCTTTTTATATATGTCAAAAAGATCTTGAAGTAAAAGAACTTGATTGCTTGTCTTGCACACTGAGTTAAATAAAATAGAAATTCCTATTATTGCATCATCTTTCTGTTTCAATAATCACTTCTTTACCGTTCTTAAAATTTTTCTGTGCAGTTTGTAGTTCTTTACAAGTTCTGGGATAAATGGATATTTGATATTGGGCGACATGTTGTTTGCTCCAAGTTCTTCATCTATTACTATGTGAAGGACTTGATAAAGAACATGGTGTTGACAACCATCGAATTGCAGTTCTTTCTGTTTTTTTTCATTAAAATGTCTTTGTATCTGACTGACAATCCCTTTCCTACTTTCAGTGTTTACATTTAAAGTGTCCGCTTAAATCATTTTATACTCCTCCATAAATTGTATTCATTAAGATTAGTTGTTGTACCTTTAAAAACAGTATCTGCTATATGTCTGGTAGATCTAGTGCTTGTAACTTCTCTTTGTTTGTTCTTTAACACTAACAATTACTATTCTTGGATTTTGAAAAAATTTCATTCAATGGATTTTATTTTCTTATTTGCCTATTCAGCAAGTTTTTATAGTCTAAATCTTGTTCATTTTCATGACCTTCTAGAAGACTCCAGAAAACTCTAGAAAGTTTCAGAGATTTCTAAAAACATCCAGAACATTCCAGAAAATTTTATATAGTTCAATGAGGATCAAGAAAATTCTAGACTTCAGAAAGCTACTGTCATAATGCTACTTCCTGCAAATACTAATTGGATACCATTTTTAAAATGTTGTGTTGTGGATGACCATTTTTGAAAATCAATCAAAATAAAACCCATTTTTATTACTTTTGAGCAAAAATTCAACAATTTATGATGACACTAAAAATTAATAGTTTTACATATATACATATATATATATATATATATATATATATATATATATATATATATATATATATATATATATATATATATATATATATGTATATATATATATATATACATGTATATATATATATATATACATGTATATATATATATATATATATATATATATATATATATATATATATATATATATATATATATATATATATATATATATATATATATATATATATATGCCCATATGCCTATGTTTTGTTTTTCATATTTTAGAGGATGTTTAAAGTTGCATATTAAAGCATACAGTTTAGCAATAAAAGATTTATCAGAAGCTATAAAACTAAATTCCTCCTGCTATTTAGCTTTTTACAATAGAGCAGTGTGCTTCCATGCTAAAAAGTTTTATTTTGCGGTAGGCAATGTTAAACACATAATATAAAATATTTTATGATTGAATTATTGTAATAAGCAATTTTTATTTGACTTATTTATAAGTTTGTTTTTTTTTATTTATTAGGCATTAAAAGATTACAGTATTGTTGTTTTGTCGAATTGTGAATACAGTCAAAAGGTTTTTTAATAATAGAAAGATTGTTGCAGTAATACTTTTATTATTTTTGCAGTTCCTGATAATTTTGTTTTGAAATTCGATGTTTATCTCTGGATGCTATGCTGTAAGGGTGTGCATGCTAGTTAATTAATTTTATTTTTTGAGAACCAATATACTGTTGTGTAAGATTTTTTTATCCTCAAGAGTAGTTTACCTCATCATTTAGGGACATTAGTAGTGTTGTGAAGTATAAATTTCAAAAAGAATATTTTACTTTTTTTGCTGCTATTTTGTACTGTTGAGCATATTCTGCATTCTCTCATCAAATAAGTAATTATATTTCATTATTCCAGAGTTAATATGCATGACTTTACATTTTTTTACATTTAATTCCATTTGCCAGGTTTGAAACTATTTAACAAACTCAACCAATATCAGATAACTTGTTCTGTCTTCATTATTTTGGAAATCTTTATAAGCTTTGTGTATATTTTTCAAATTGCTGATATAACATGATTTGGAAGGTTTTGAATAAACATAACAAAGAGCATTGGCTCCAAAACTTTGATGTTGAAACTTTATGTCTACCATTATGAAATTGAATCTGAAGTTAATCCAGATATTTGATCACTACCCCAATACTACTACACTAAAAATGCTCTAACAACATTTTAAAGTTACATTACATTTCAATCAGTTACAATTTGTAACAAGGTTACATTTGTATATTTTTAATTAAATACACTTGATTTAATGTTTGTTTATTATTGACAAACTGGTATTTATTTTTTTTTATTTTATTTTTATTGTAAAATAGCTTAGTCTTGATTGGTTACTTTGCTAGAAAAAAAAAAGTTTCAATTTGCAGTGTTATACTTTTAAAAGCCAAATGGTTTACAAAAGTGTAACCAATTGAGAGGTAACATAACATTAAAAAAAAAGAGAGATTTTAATTAGATCTCAAATAAAGATTTTATACAAAACGTTGTCTCAATTAACATCACAATTTTGATACAAAATATTACATCTTAATTGGTTACTTTTTATATATATAAAAATTGATACATAATTATATCTCAATTAAAATATATATTTGAAATTGAGATGTAATTTAAAAAAAAAACTATACAATCGCATATACTAAATTTTTAATATTTCTTTTATCTAATTATATTAATAAATTTGTTAGTGTAAAATATAAAAAACATTTTGTTTATATTTTACACTTTATTTATATATATATATATATATATATATATATATATATATATATATATATATATATATATATATATATATATATTATATATATATATATATATATATATATATATATATATATATATATATATATATATGTATATATATATATATATAAATATAAATATAAAAAACATTTTGTTTATATTTTACACTTTATTTATATATATATATATATATATATATATATATATATATATATATATATATATATATATATATATATATATATATATGTATATATGTATATATATATATATATATATATATATATATATATATATATATATATATATATATATATAAATATATATATATATATATATATATATATATGTATATATATATATATAAATATAAATATAAAAAACATTTTGTTTATATTTTACACTTTATTTATTATATATATATATATATATATATATATATATATATATATATATATATATATATATATATATATATATATATATATATATATATATATATATATATATATATATATATATATATATGTATATATGTATATATATATATATATATGTATATATATATATATATATATATATATATATATATATATATATTATATATATATATATATATATATATATATATATATATATATATATATGTATATATATATATATATATATATATATATATATATATATATATGTGTGTGTGTGTATATACATATATATATATATATATATATATATATATATATATATATATATATATATATATATAATATATATATATATATATATATATATTTATATTGCGGAGAAAAAAGAATTAGCCTCACCTTTATTTTTTGTTTTAATTTAATATAAATAATTTAAAATAATTGAACCCGTCATTTTGAAAAGGGCACAAGTCCATTTATTCAAACTTTTCAGGATCAACAAAAATTACTTTATTAGAAAAAAAGTCTATGGTGCTAAAGAAACTAAAGATAACAGTAGATATATAAAAGTTATACATAAGTTTTTAGAGATTTATTTGTTATAAAAAAATAATATATAACACATATATTTCTAATTTAAATTTATGGACTTATGTCTTTTTCGGAATGAACGCTTTTTTGTATATAAAAAACCAAAGATTATCAGAATAATAATGACTTATTATTATACAAAAACATTTATTGTTAGGTAATCATCAATTATTTCTCGGAATTCATTGTTTGCCGAAGTTGTTGGCGAAGCAAAAACCTTTGTATAAAATATATTCCATATTCTGTTGAATATGGAATATATTTTTTCATATTTTTTTCAAATCTGATATATTTTTTTCATTGATAGGTAATTTTCCAACATATGCAGGAGTACTACTTAATGGTAAGGTTGACCGGGTACCCATCCTTTGTAATAGCTGGAAATTATAACTGACTAAGCAATCTATGGATTCACATGTTTTCACTAAACCTGCTGTGGTATTAGAGAATGTGAAATGTGAAATTTTAGAAATACTAAAAGTAAGTTTTTTGTCCTTGGGTACTCCTTTTTTATAGGAATCCACAGATAGCACAAGTTTCTTATAATGGTTTAGCCACCGTTTTTTTACATCGTTGGTGTGTAAATCCGATCATTTTTTTGAATGTCGTTTTGCTGTTCCAAACATTCTATCGTTTGGCAAGAATGAGTGACCTCTTTTTGGTATGTAATATTGTATCTCATTTATATTGCTATCTAGTTTAGCTAACAGTGATGAAAGTATTCGGACCGTGGCATGATTTCTGTTTTGGCCTGCACAACCATTAGAAAATAGGTGCAGTTCTTTGGCTTTGTTGCCAATATTTTTAAAAATATAATTCAGCACAAAGGTACATACTTCGCTCACGTACTTTTGTTAATGTATCTCAAGGTAATGCGTTGCATCGTGATCACAGAGATTTACCTCTGTAATCTATAGGCTGCTCTTTTTTTTTTAATAAAATGCATAAATGTCTAACTTGTTTCATAGAAATTCCATGCATACAGCAAAAAGCTTTCTTGCTTACTTTTCTTATCACACCTTCAATCTAAATGTGATAAATAAAAGAAAATTCTTTTTTATTAGGTTCTTTAGATCTAAACCATCTTCCCTCTTTTCAATCAATGAATGCAAATATGTATCTTGAGCATTTTTACAATCAAATTTGTTAACAAACTGAATTGTACTTTCTATAAAATCTTCAGATACACTTTGAATTACATCTGTAAATAAATAGAATTATTGAGGTAATATTGTAATAATTATATATCAAGATGTTTTACCTCCAATTATTGGTGGTAAAACATGAGTAAATAAGCATAAATTTGAGAACGAATATAGTCATACTCTAAAGAACAAAAAAGTAACCTACAAGAAGCACCCGTTTGACTTGGTGCCACATCATTTCCTTTGTGGTTTTTATAAGTTTCTCCAGCAATTTTGGCTTTTTTTATTTTTTTGTGTTTATAATTTCCACTGTTTCTTATACCAGACACTCTTTTTCTAGATCTATATGCATTTTCAGGAAGTTCGCGATTTTCCATTTTTGTTACAAAAAAAGTGAAATTACGTCACTACAGTTGCGCTTTGTTTCACTTGAAAAAGGCATAAGTCCGGGACTTGTGCCATTTTCAAACAGACTTTAATTTTCATTTGCATTTAAAGTTGACTTGTGGCATATGAAAATGTTTCTCCTTCAAAGAGAATATGTAAAACACTTGAATAAATAAAATTACATTAAAAAGTGAAATTTGAAAAAAGTGTGACTTGTGCCCTTTTCGAAATGACGGGTTCAATTATCAAATCTACTTTATTTCTTATTGTCTTCTACTACAATTAAAAAAATTATAAATTGGTATGTTTAATTAATTACAAAATAAAAATTTAAAACTACTCGATTTGTGAAGAACACAGAATTAGCCTCATCTACATTATATACAAGAAAATACAGAAAATATTTTGTTTTTACATTTATTTAATATTTAGTATTGCTTCCTGAATTTTTAATGACTTCAAATATACAACTTGACATACTAGTCACAAGATTTTGGATAGTTTCTATAGATATTTCATTCCAAGCTTCTCTGATACGAATTTTCCGCTCCAATGTGTATTCATATTGTTTACCATTTTCTTAAACTTTTATTTAACTTTTCTAGAAAGTGTTCCACATAGATTTTCAATTGGGTTAAAATCTGGGCTACATGCCGGCCATTCCATTATGTGAATATTTATTTCTCTAAACCAAGCTTTTGTATGATTTGAATTATGGATAGAAGCATTGTCTTGTTGAAAAGTGAAATTTTCACCCATCAACTCTTCACCATATTCAAGCAAACTAATTTCTAATAAGTCAATGTAGTCCTGTGAATTCGTTTTTGTTGAAATCCATGTCAGTAGAAGTCCAGCAAAGGAAAAAGCCCCCCAAACCATAACAATTAACAGTTATGACTCATCTAAGTTCCTTCCTCTTTCGAAGATATGTGCCAGTAATATTGACAGCCATCAGGATCATCTAGATTGAACTTTTTTTCATCACTTAAGAGAACTTGATGCTACTGTTCCTAAAAAGACATGTGTTTTTTCCCAAATTGTAATCTAGCTTTGTTACAAACAGTAAATTTTGGTTTTGGTTTACACTTTTTCCAAACTACGTTGGATCTTCATGAAAACTGTTGCACACATTGAACAGTTACAGGTAATTGTAAATCAGCACAAATTCTAGATGCAGTCATGTGTTGAGCAGCTGCACAACGTGCAATAGCTCATTTAGTACATTTGTTAATAACAAACCGTAGATCACCGCAAATTTCCACTTTCAATGAGAGTTTGTTGTGCTGGTTTGACAAAGTTCTAACTGAAATTTTTTATGTTAGGAGAATTTTAAAAAAAATCTTCTAAGTTTTTTACCCCTTACATGTGTGAGCATGAGTTTTATTGTGTTGGACTTCTTAGAACCTAAGTCTTGATCCCAGTCTTGTAAAAACATTCTAAGTCTTGGTCTTGGTCTTTGGTTGATTTTTTGATGTCTTAGTCTTGGTCTTGAAGCATTCAGTTTTGGTCTTGGTCTTGGTTTTGAGCCCAAATGTCTTGGTCTTAGTCTTGGTCTTAGCCTTTACTGTCTTGACTACATCACTGCATATATATACATATGTATACATATACATATGTATATATATATATATATACATATATATATTTATATATATATCTACAGTGCTTGTAATGAATCTGGAGCAATCGCTCTCAACACATGAAACATGTCTATAAACGAACTTCCAGACACGAAAAATAGCACTTGCTAGTTTCATTACGAGAGTAAAAAATCATGCTTGTTTATTTGGTTGATCTATTAGCGCTATTTGTTGCACCCAAAAGTTTATTTATGGGCGTGTTTCACATGTCGCAAGCAATCCCTCTTGATTCATCACTAGGCCTGTATATATATATGCTTATAAATGTGTATATGTATGTATGTATGTATACATGTATACATATATACATATATACATATATACATATATACATATATACATAAACATACATACATACATACATACATACATACATACATACATACATACATACATACATACATACATACATACATACATACATACATACATACATACATACATTCATTCATAGATACATACAATGGATAATTTAGAAAATAAAGTTACACTATAGCATATATATGAACTATAAAATAAGGAATATTTTTGAAATCTTTTTTTAAATGTAAATTATAATTTAGGCTTTTCTTAATCGTGGAGTTGTTTACTTTGAAATTAATGATTTTCAAAATGCTCTTCTTGATTTTGTTGCACTTTTAGAAGTAAGTATTAAGTTTGTTTATTGCTAAGTATTAAATTTATTTATTGATAAGTGCTTAGGTTCCATTAACAATTAAAATTTTTATCCCACAAATGAAATTCAATCTTATACCCAGTTTTATGTACTGTACATGGGTCATTGATTCTTAAAAATGACCTAATTTAATAATCATCAGATAAGATGATTTTCCTAAATGCTGATAACATCATCAGCTGAGTATATGCGTATATACTTAACTTGTATGTCGGCAGGCCAACATACAAGTTAGGCATAGATACAACTTACATACAATACATACAACTTGTTTGTGTGGCATTTATGTTAAATGATGAGCTGTAGTAACTATAATGACTGAAAACTGTTCAGTAGTTGTTTAAATTTATCTTGATTTCTTTTTTATTCAAAAAATCTTTAAAGTTATCTTTTTTACTTACTATGTAAAAAAACATAACCTCAATTTTGAAAAAAGGCAACACAACTATTACATCAAATTATAGACCAGTGTCTCTGTTCTTTGTAAACTTTTTACAGTTGACAGTTCTTTGTAAAGTTTAATTCACAAAAATATATTAAATCATCTGAACAAATATGACTTGATATTTAAACAATAGCACAGATTTCTCAAAAATAAATTGTGTGCTACACACTTACTAAAATCTCTAAACAACATTACAAGTGCTGTGATGAAATGATGGAAATAATGTTAACTTATTATACATGGGTTTTGAAAAAGTTTTTAACAAAGTCCCTTATAAGTGCTTAATTAAATAATTATTAGCCTATGGCATTAATGGGAAGCTTGGATAATCATAATTAGTAGAATGCATAAAATAATAATAGGTAAAAGTATATCTAATTAATTGCATGTTGCATTAACATAGTTAATACAATTTAATAATAAACTCCATTTCCACATAGAATGTGGAAATGGAGTTTCCACATTCTATGTGGAAACGGAGTTAAATTAACTGAAGTTAACTGAAAAAATTTTTATTTTTGTTACTTAAAGCATTTTGCAGATGAGCTCCTCATTTAATATATCACAATACTTTATTCAGAATTATTTTTTGGAAGAATTATCTCATTTAAAACTTGTGTGTTCTTGTTTAGCTTGGTCTTTTGCATAGACACATAAAATAATAACCAAAATTGATAAAATATATATAAAAGTATTAAAGATATCTGAATTATTGCTATTTTTTGTTGTTGCTGTTAAAATCAACAGAATATCACTAAAAATAATATTATTACTTCCACTAACTTCTCTTAATTTTTTTTAGCACACTCCAAAAGATCCAATAGTTCTCTACAACATTGGTTTATGCTATCATAGGTATATATATATATATATATATATATATATATATATATATATATATATATATATATATATATATATATATATATATTAGGGTGAAAAAAAAATGAGCAAAAAAAAATTTTATTTAAAATTTCTAATAGTGGCCAAAAGTTGCGTTTTATAGTCATAAAAAAGTTTTTAAAATTTCATTACTCTACTACAACGTTTTAAGGTGCCGCAAAGAGCCTGAAAAATTGAAATTTTTAAAAATTGAATAAAAATTCAAAATTTTGTTGTCTATACTTTTTTGATGTTTTGTACAAATACTTCTGTGAAATAATGTAATCAGTAATAAATGTTTATTATATTTAAAAAACAAACATTTCTCACCAAAAACAGTTTTTAGGTCATATTTTTGTATTTTTTACAATTTTTATTAACATATTGTACTTTGTTAGTACATGTTATAGGAATTTAAATGAAGTAAAACAAAACATGGTTATTGATAAATGTTTTATTATCTTGTACATGTAAACTGAAAATTCATTTTAATGAGATCAATAAAAATACTTAAAATACTTGTCAAGATTAAAAGGTTCCCAACATTTGCAAATGTTTGTTTTTCACTGTGTTGGCACATTGAAATGTTTTTTTGAATCAAATTTTGGCATATTCTTCTGTGATTTTTTATTTAATAAAACCTTCTCTTAAAAATGGTCCACAGACAGACAAAGGTGACTCAATAACTAGTTTTACCGTTCTTTCCACTGCATGTGTATGGCATGGAAATCAAGGAAAATAAATTAATGGGTTCTCCACAACAGTTGGTTCTAATATTTCCCTAATGAATTGATTAAGGGAATCAATATAAATATGCTTTGTCATTGGGGACTCTGTGAGTTCAATATCGTACAATGGGATCATAAAAATGTAATCATTAGCGTCAAAGTTTGTTTTTTTGAATGATAAATTTTCTAATACCACCTCTAATCTCTGCTCTTGCTTTTAGAAGTCTACGTAAACCAAGCTCTCATATGTTTGTGGTCATCACATCATATAGTGAGTAAGAAATAAGTCTATAGAGATGTTTAAAACCATTTGAACATAAGTTTATAATGTTAAATAGTTGTTATAATGTTAAATAGCAAGTTATAATGTATATTGAACATGAAGATTATAATGTTACATGATCAATTTATATCAAACATGAAGGTTATAATGTTAAATAGTTGTTAATAAAATCTTTTTTTGAAAATGGTCCACAGACAGATAAAGTTGTTAAATAGGTTATAATGTTGAATAGCACAATGTTAAACCAGACAGGTGCATAAACTTTTGCAATAAAGCTAGAATTTCCACATACAATCGAAGTATTTGATTTGCTAATGTAAGCCATAATGTAATACTAATGTAAGCCATCTAGAGTTAGATAGTTTTCTAGAGGTTTTCAATAATAAATCTAAACAGCAGTTTCCTCTAGGTACAGTAATACACATTTCTATTAAGTACTTCTGATCTGTAATTAAATCACTTACATTTTCTAATAAGGTAAGGTTATTTTCAATTGGTGAAAAGAGAACTACAGGCAACTTATGACAGCTTTGCAGTTTCTTACCTATTTCCCCCTTAAACTCATTGGGACCCATAGTTTTACTATCTAAGGGATGAAAAAGGTGGTGTAAAGAAATTTCTTTATAATGGAATAAGCAAACGAAATCACATCATCATTGACTCCAGTATTTACAATGGTTCCATCTTATCCAGTCACAGTGAAAGCGACAAGTTGTTCATCATGTTTGCTATCTTGTAAAGCATTTTTTAATAACAAAGCATTTGCTGCAGCTCTATCAACGCTACTCAACCATTTTTCTAGACCATCGTTGATCATTTAAAAATTCATGCTTTTGATAAGGGACTTGCTTTTGTACAACTACATTGCTGAAAGTCTAACACATTTACAGGCAGCAATATCAAATATGCATTTAGCATGTTCTTTAACTGTAACAAGGTTGGAGGTATGTTTTTCCGATCCTTTTCTGCTCATAGATCTTAATAATTTTCTATACTTGTCATGATATGCTTTTATTTGAGTATAAGAAACTACAGAAAGAGAAGCTTTTAACCATATAATTTCAATATTCTGAGCTAAAATATCAGATACTTCACTTGCAGTTGGATCCTTTGATGATGTATCTGGTTTGAGGTTATGTCTTATAAGAAAATAGCATTTCATCACATTCCATATGTTGGCAACACTACTGCTCTTAAATCATTAAACTTCCGAATATAGGACAATCTACCATTTGTCTAGTCTTGACTTGTTTTGAAGAGGCCATTTTGTTACACAATTATAATAACAACGCTACATAAACTCAAATGATTCTAAATCACTTAAATTGACTTTGAATTCAGTAGACTGCATTCTGGGACTGATTCTTGTCCTGATTTGAAATCTACCTCTGCTTCCCTCTTCCCTCGCCATTAAACTCCCCTCCCACTATGTCTCCCTCCATTCCACATTATAACCTGACATTATCATGTTTGCTCTTGTTTCAAATTCAAATTCATGAATACACAGTACCTCTAAGCTTATTTTGTCATTTAAAAATATAGCTGAAAAAAATTAAAATTTATGAAACTTTACCCTACTTGCGGCACTTCAAGACATGCTCCGATCATTATTAAATTTTATAGTTATCTTTTTTATGTTAAAAGGCATCTTTTCCACACTATTAGAAATTAAAAAGAAAAAAATGTATTTTCATTTCACTCATATATATATATATATATATATATATATATATATATATATATATATATATATATATATATATATATATATATATATATATATATATATATATATATATATATATATATATATTAAAAAATTAACCACAACAACGAAAAAAATGTCTAATATAAATGTCTATTTTTGGCATATATGTATATATATATATATATATATATATATATATATATATATATATATATATATATATATATATATATATATATATATATATGTATATATAGAATATTCAACAGAAGGAGAAAAAAAATTTTTGTTGGCATATTATCTTTTAAATAAAAATTGGGAAATATTTATTTTTTTAGATATAGACATTTATATTAGACATTTTTTTTTTTGTTGTTGTAGTTAATTTTTTTTAGTTACTGTTGTTGTTTTGCTTTTAGTTTTGTTTTCGATTTTTAAAAAATATTTTTTGAGTTTATAGACTTGGTGATCATAAAGAATCAAAAAGATTTTATACCAGAGCCCTGGAAGTTGATTCTTTATATTGGCTTTCTTTGATTGGTCGTGCAAATGTTTTAATGGAATGTAATAATACAGAAGCTTATAAATCAGCACAGTAATAATCTATTCCTTAAGATTTTGTGTTTAAAAAAATTTTTTATAGCCTTGACTGAACTTTTTTGTTTTTATTTTTGATCTGATGTACAGCATAGTTTTGCTTTGTACTTTATATAGTATAACTCTGTGAGCATTATTCAAAATATATTTTTTACAGTATCTATATTTCATGTATTATAACTCTGTGAGCATTATACAAAGTATATTTTTTAGAGTACCTATCTTTCATACAATATAACTCTGTGAGCCTTATTCAAAGTATATTTTTTGTACATTATATTATTGTAATTATTAAATTGAATTTTAAAAATATTTGTTAGAAATGATTATAGTCGTGCATTATTTATTAACCCAAACTGTTTACAAGCGAGATTAAACCTAGCAAGATGTCTTCAAGTTTGTTTTTATCATTTTTATCTTTAATTTTTAAAATATTTTTTTTTATTTTTCAAACTTTAGTGTAAAACATTTAGTTTTATATAAAACAGTTATAAAATAATAATACTGTAAAATAAAAAATATTAAAAAAATAAAATTTTATTTTAAGGTAAAAAATAAGCATATGAAGGCCTGGTACCTATTTTCAAGAGCTTTGGAAATTGATCCAAGTAAATTATTTTCATTTTTGCATTTAAAAAAAAACAACTTTGTATATGTATTAAGAGTTATTTTAAGTTTAGACTGTATTTGTGCGTTGGAAGGGCGAGCATTAGTGAGTTTACAATTAAACAATAGATTTGAAGCTCTTTGTGATCTTAATAATGCTATTAAGGTAACTTTTTAGCATTTTTCTTCATCTCAACAAATTTTTCTGCATTTTCCTTGTCTTCATTTAAATAACTTTTTATCATAACATTTTTGCAATAGTGCTATTATTCAATTTCAGCTGAAGAAAAGTCCTGAGTTGCTAACAAATCGAGGGGTTGTAAATATGGTACATAGTTATTAGATATATATTTGTGTCAATCTTTTGTAAGATATTTGTTTGTGAAAAGTGCCTAAAACAACAAGGGTGGTTTTGAAGCATGAAAAATAACAAATATGTGTGTGTGTGGTATGCAAAATAAGAAATGAATACAAATTTAAAATAAGAAGTGTGGTTCTCATGTGGATTTTTGTAAATAATAAAAATTTGTGATCTAGGACAAAAAAAACAAAAAAAATTCTGTTACTTATGCTACTTATTATAAAACATTCAAGAATGATAAATGCAATTTTCTTGTTTGTTGTTGTTTTTTTATATCTAATTGTATGTAATTTTTTAATACAAAATATAATTTTTTGCACTTTCAAAATTAGGTGTCAAGAGATAATGTTAATGCAATGTATGATTATAAAATGGCAATTCAATTAAATCAATCATTTGAAACTGCTTACTTTAATGCTGCAAACATATGTTTCCTTAATCATCAGTTCTCTCAGGTAATTTATGAATATATAGTTAATCATCAGTTCTCTCAGGTACTTTATGAATATATAGTTAATCATCAGTTCTCTCAGGTACTTTATGAATATATAGTTAATCATCAGTTCTCTCAGGTACTTTATGAATATATAGTTAATCATCAGTTCTCTCAGGTACTTTATGAATATATAGTTAATCATCAGTTCTCTCAGGTACTTTATGAATAGTTAAATAATATATGACAGCATAAGTATATAATTATTGACTGTAAAATTAATTATTGAACATTAGAGCATGTATCATTGTTCTAATAAATTTTTATCTAATCAAACTTTTTTAAAAAACAAAAAAAAAGCGCCAGGTAAATCATTATTTTTATTCTTCACTTTTTTTAATTTAAAGAAGATCTTGTCATAGCACAAATTGTAAAACTTAACTAAGGTAACTAAAACATATTCTTTATTAGCAAAATAATTTTTGAATATTTCAACTAAGTGCAGAAGTGGTAAAAACTTACTTAAATGAAAAAAGTATATAAATTTTTTAAAATAATTTTTATATAAATTCTTTATGTGTTTTACATATAGTCGAATTTCAGCTGTAATTTCAGTAATAATATTGATTGCAGCATGAAGTTTTAACTATTAATTAGACATTCATTTTCATAATAGTTTTTTAGCACTTAGTTTTAACTATATCGTTTGTTTATCATTTCAAACTAATATTTACTAATTTAGGAAAAAATATGTTTCAAAATTTGATTAAGGTTTTAATCCGCATTGTCCATTTAAATAATTCAAATGCACAATTCGGATTGGTCTTTGCATCATATTTCCAAAGAAGTTGGATGTGGTAAGTGTTTAGTTCAAAGAGTTGTGTCAGATTTTAAGTTGGATGTGGTAAGTGTTTAGTTCAAAGAATTGTGTCAGATTTTAAGTTGGATGTGGTAAGTGTTTAGTTCTAAGAATTGTGTCAGATTTTATTTGGATGTGGTAAGTGTTTAGTTCAAAGAATTGTGTCAGATTTTAAGTTGGATTTGGTGAGTGTTTAGTTCAAAGAATTGTGTCGGATTTTAAGTTGGATGTGGTGAGTGTTCAAAGAATTGTGTCATATTTTAGTTTCTAAAGAAGTTGGATGTGGTAAGTTTTCAAAGAATTGTGTCAGATTTTAGTTTTCAAAGAAGTTGGATGTGGTATTTAGTTCAAAGAGTTGTGTCAGATTTTAGTTTCAAATTTTAACTAGAAGGAAGTTGGGGAAGAAATCAAAAAACTACAGAAAGAGAAGGTTGTTTGATTGTGAGAGAAGTGATGAAGAACCATAGAATATCAATTAGTTAGATCCCTACCAAAACCCTGGTAGTACCACACTTACTTTGTTTCTTGATGCAGCGACCTTGTTTGTCAATGTTTGTGTTTCAGAGTTATTGAGTTGAGAGAGGGTTGTAACCACAACTAAAGTAGCCTCCTCAACTGTATTGGCCATTGTGGCCTTGGGGAAAATCAAAAAAAAAATAAAAAAAAGTTACCTGAAGAATAAGTTTTTTGACTAAGATGCAGTTAAGACTAACAAAAAAAGTATGACTTAAGGTGTATGACATGGTTCTTCTGCTTCAAACATAAAGTAGTCTACTAAATTAGGTAGAATTGAGTGGTATTTTTTGCACTAAAATCTTTCTACCTCAAACATTAAATATTGCTGCAGCAAATTTTCTATATCCACAAGCGGCAAGACATAGTGTACCTAATCCATCATTAAATTAATTGATGAGGCTAATGAAGATATCTTGAGTGAACTTTTGAAGTTAAAATGTGTTTTGATCTTTATATAAACTGGCAGATATGCAATATTACGCAACATTTGTTTCATAAATTGAGACATGTTGTTTCTTTATATTGTATGGTCCTGTTTCGTGTAAATGTATCAGGTATTCTAAATGAGCATGAAAATATAGAGATAAGTGTACTAGTCAGTGTAGTGTCTACTCATTTAATTGATATCAGTTAAGCACATAATATTTTTGTAATCCTGATATGTTTCAACAAAGTTTTCATAATATCACTCCTCTTCAAGAAAATTAGGTTACAAATGTACAATTTCTTTTTTTCTGAAACTTGCCAGAAAAAAAAGTTATTAATGTGGTTCCTTGTGTATTTATTATTGAATAATGATGTTGAGGTGAATTCAATTTTGCCTTGTGCCAAAATTAGATATATGTTGGTTCATACACAATGCCTTGTGGACAGTTATTTTGGAACATTTAAAAAAGCTAATATAGTTAATGACATACAGTAGCGTAAAAAAGTAACCAAACAAGAATATAAATCGGCTTTTAAAAAATTCTTTTTAATTTTCACTAGAATGTCAATTGATTTCAAAAGGAATTACAAATGAATTTTTTAATCTAAGCAATCAAATCTAATAATTCAAATACACTTACAGACAGAACTAAAATAATAAAATTCAAATACCTTTTAAGGATTTTTTCTTATCTTTAAAAAAGCTAAATAAAACTTCAAGCATTTGTTAATTAAAAAGAATTTTGTTTTAAATAAATGTTAAATGCTGAAATAAAAGAATTTCACAATACAAAATGTAGTGTTGACACAACCAAGCATCATTTGAGGGGTCTGCAATATATTTAAAAGACGTCCTGTAAATAAACCTTTCATTTTGATAAAGAATTAAAAAACACGCATTAAATATGCTTATGAAAATTAGAAGTGGGCAAGAAAACAATGGTCAAAAGTACTTTTTAGTGATGAGTTGGAGATTATGTTATTTGGATCTGACGGTATTAGAAATGTTGTCCAACAGGCTATAGAATTGAACCTAAATACAAGCTACCAACCTTAAATCACAACAGTGGAAACGTTAAATAGAGATTGTATCAATCCTATCCACTTCATTGATGGCATGTAATTAAATGCTGCTATAGGCTAAAGACAAGATGTCTTGAGGATGAATATTTCAACAGAACAATGATTCAAAAAAGTAATTCAACCCTAGTGAAATACTTTTTAAACTCCAGAAAAATTTGGTTAATGGAATGGCTTTCAAAATAACCTGACCTTGGAACCTGTCCAGGGTATAATCAAATTTCAGGTAAAAAACCAACATGTAAACAAGATTTTAAAATTCTGAAACTGAAAAGAGAAGAAAAAGATTTTCAGTTAAAACAAATGTTTGAAAAAAAAGTTTACTTCAAATGTTTTATTCTGTCCAAATACTTATTCACATGCATATTTCAAAAAAATAAACTTTTTAGATTAGATTGGTTAAATTTAGTAAAAATCATTTGCTTTCACATTTAGAATCAGTATTTTGACATTGCAGTGAAAATTTCAAAAAAAATTGGGCTTTACATTCAAAAGTTGTATCGATTTATAAGCACTATTGACTAGCTTGTTTCAACTGTTGTTGGACAATTTCTTCCAATTGTTGTTGACCAGCTTATTTCAACTGTTGTTAAAAGTTCTGAAAATAACTTTCCTAAACTTACAAATCAAAAATGGATTCACTGGATAGATTTTTTGGACAAAAACAAACTTTTTTCCAGATCTATTATTAAAAAAAAAATTTTTCAGTTTTATTTTTCAGCTTCATTTTGAAGTAAGCGTTAGTTATTGTTTATTACGTAACATTTTTAAATTACTTTTCACTTGTATTACTTTCAATTTTAAAAAAATTACTTACTCTTTATCCGTGGAGGGGGATAATGACGCTCTTAGGAATGTGGTTTCCATATGGTAATTAGCTGGACGAGGGTAAACGATATCGTATAAGTATTGTTATTCAAAATATTCTTCTGTTTTTTTAGTTGTATTTTATTACTTGTTTTTTTTTAAATTTAAGAATTATATGTATTCTTACTTCGAAATAATTTAAATATATACATATATATATATATATATATATATATATATATATATATATATATATATATATATATATATATATATATATATATATATATATATATATATATATATATATTTAAGTTGATTAAGGTGCCCCTTGAAGTTCTTACGGTCTTATCACAGAACACCGCGGAAGAGCATTTAATAGGAAGTTCACGCCTCCTTCCCAACTGATGTCGCAAAACTTGCCCAGAGGTGGGGTTTGAACCGCGGATCTTACGTTTCTGAGGCAAGTGCGCTACCACTGCGCCATATATATATATATATATATATATATATATATATATATATATATATATATATATATTAGGGATATGACTTTTTTAACTTTTTATACAATTTGGACAACCCCATATTATTTTTGGATGAGTTTTTGCTATAAAACAATGAAGAAATGTTTATTTTCCTTCAAGTGTAAAAAAATGTCACGCCCCTCGGCTGAAATGTTTTTTAATACAATATAGATAGGAATATAATATACTATAGATATTATATATGGGCCAGAAAACATAAGTTAAAGAAGTCACAACCCTCTATATATATTTTATTATATTATATTATTATATTATATATAATAAAATATATAGACGGTTAATATATATTATATATATAATTTTAAATACATACCAGATGTATGCATTACCAATTTATAATTTCTAGTTTTTCACTGCTGTGCCTAATTGTTTATTAATTAGTTTCAGATTTTTTTGTGCTGCTTTTAATTAAAATGGCATACAAATACTGCCAATCAAGTGTTGAAAAAAATAAAGAAACTTATAAAAAAAATCTTGTGAAATTTCAAGATTTGCATAAAAGTAGACAAATTCCAATGTTAGAAACATCTTTTCAAGAATATTCCAAAATGCCATTAAAAAGTGATATTGTTAGCAGGTTTAAGTATTTGTCTAGTACTGATGTGAAAGCCAAAAAGCAAAGGATAGATCTTATTTCAGAAGAAGTTATAAGTTTGTGGAAAGAACAATTAAATTTCCCATGTCTGACAGAGCAGTCAGTGAAGCGAAAGATTAATGATGTTATAGAAAAATATGAAAGTCTCAGAAAAAAAGGGAATGCCGACCTTCTGCAAAAAAAAAATTTTTGATACAACAAATCAAAATGGCATTTGGTTATCATCTGAAGATAAAAGATTTTATGAAATTCATTTACAAAGCAAAGGAGAAATTGGATATGCTACTTCAAAGCTGGCAGGAAAGAAGACTATTCATCCATCAATTGTGCAAAAACTTTCCAGCCAACCTTCAGCATCTAAAAGTTTTTCTTCATTTACTAAAAGTAGTAAAATAGAAAGAGACAACTCTAGTTCCGAAATTTGAAGAAACTGATGAACAATTTGAGATAGATAATGAAATTACAGATGAAGAATATAATAGTTTGAAGAAAAGACGTAAAAAATATAGTAGTTGTAAAATAGCAACAAAGTTAGTGGTTTGTGCTAAGGTATCAACTAAGAAAGCTTCTAAAATAGGTAAAATACTGTCCTCAGAAGGCATACATGTTCCAGCGCCATCACAGTCTGGAATATACAAGGCTCTTTTTAATGAAGCAAAACAATTTAAAGAAACTTTTATTCAAGATTTAAAGAATGAGAATTGAACCCGTCATTTCAAAAAGGGCACAAGTCACACTTTTTTCAAATTTCACTTTTTAATGCAATTTTATTTATTCAAGTGTTTTACATATTCCCTTTGAAGGAGAAACATTTTCATATGCCACAAGTCAACTTTAAATGCAAATGAAAATTAAAGTCTGTTTGAAAATGGCACAAGTCCCGGACTTATGCCTTTTTCAAGTGAAACAAAGCGCAACTGTAGTGACGTAATTTCACTTTTTTTGTAACAAAAATGGAAAATCGCGAACTTCCTGAAAATGCATATAGATCTAGAAAAAAAAGTGTCTGGTATAAGAAACAGTGTAAATTATAAACACAAAAAAATAAAAAAAGCCAAAATTGCTGGAGAAACTTATAAAAACCACAAAGGAAATGATGTGGCACCAAGTCAAACGGGTGCTTCTTGTAGGTTACTTTTTTGTTCTTTAGAGTATGACTATATTCGTTCTCAAATTTATGCTTATTTACTCATGTTTTACCACCAATAATTGGAGGTAAAACATCTTGATATATAATTATTACAATATTACCTCAATAATTCTATTTATTTACAGATGTAATTCAAAGTGTATCTGAAGATTTTATAGAAAGTACAATTCAGTTTGTTAACAAATTTGATTGTAAAAATGCTCAAGATACATATTTGCATTCATTGATTGAAAAGAGGGAAGATGGTTTAGATCTAAAGAACCTAATAAAAAAGAATTTTCTTTTATTTATCACATTTAGATTGAAGGTGTGATAAGAAAAGTAAGCAAGAAAGCTTTTTGCTGTATGCATGGAATTTCTATGAAACAAGTTAGACATTTATGCATTTTATTAAAAAAAAAAGAGCAGCCTATAGATTACAGAGGTAAATCTCTGTGATCACCATGCAACGCATTACCTTGAGATACATTAACAAAAGTACGTGAGCGAAGTATGTACCTTTGTGCTGAATTATATTTTTAAAAATATTGGTAACAAAGCCAAAGAACTGCACCTATTTTCTAATGGTTGTGCAGGCCAAAACAGAAATCATGCCACGGTCCGAATACTTTCATCACTGTTAGCTAAACTAGATAGCAATATAAATGAGATACAATATTACATACCAAAAAGAGGTCACTCATTCTTGCCAAACGATAGAATGTTTGGAACAGCAAAACGACATTCAAAAAAATGATCGGATTTACACACCAACGATGTAAAAAAACGGTGGCTAAACCATTATAAGAAACTTGTGCTATCTGTGGATTCCTATAAAAAAGGAGTACCCAAGGACAAAAAACTTACTTTTAGTATTTCTAAAATTTCACATTTCACATTCTCTAATACCACAGCAGGTTTAGTGAAAACATGTGAATCCATAGATTGCTTAGTCAGTTATAATTTCCAGCTATTACAAAGGATGGGTACCCGGTCAACCTTACCATTAAGTAGTACTCCTGCATATGTTGGAAAATTACCTATCAATGAAAAAAATATATCAGATTTGAAAAAAATATGAAAAAATATATTCCATATTCAACAGAATATGGAATATATTTTATACAAAGGTTTTTGCTTCGCCAACAACTTCGGCAAACAATGAATTCCGAGAAATAATTGATGATTACCTAACAATAAATGTTTTTGTATAATAATAAGTCATTACTATTCTGATAATCTTTGGTTTTTTATATACAAAAAAGCGTTCATTCCGAAAAAGACATAAGTCCATAAATTTAAATTAGAAATATATGTGTTATATATTATTTTTTTATAACAAATAAATCTCTAAAAACTTATGTATAACTTTTATATATCTACTGTTATCTTTAGTTTCTTTAGCACCATAGACTTTTTTTCTAATAAAGTAATTTTTGTTGATCATGAAAAGTTTGAATAAATGGACTTGTGCCCTTTTCGAAATTACGGGTTCAATTGGAGTCTACACTTCGATGGAAAGCATATAGACCAATGGGAGTATCAGGTTGTCGTTCTTAAAAATGAAAGAAGCGAAATAAAGTTGGGCGCACTGAAGTTAATAGATGGAAAATCTATCACTATTATTAATGCCATAGCTGATATTATAGATGAATTTAAACTATGGAATTCAATTAAAATGATTGTGACAGATACTACAAATGTCAATACCGGAAAGAAAAATGGTGTTGTTGTAAAACTTCAGGACATTTTTCAAAAAAAAGGATTACGAAAACCTCAATTTGTACCATGTCAACATCATATCTTGGATAGAATACTTAGACTAGAAATGGAAGAAAAATTGGGAGAAAATCCGAACTCACCAAACATTAATTACTTTTTTACTAACAAGTTGTTAGAACATTATGAAACACTGAAGACAAATTTTTATAACGGTGCAGAAGAAATAAAAGACACAGGAGGATGGCGAGATGACATGAAGTTTCTGTTTCATCTGACAAGAACCTACCGATACTATGACCGAAATAAAATATTTCCTAATGTAAGATTTCAAAAAATCCCTAATATCAGTAATGCTCGGTGGAGTTTAAGAGCTATTTTAACGTTGTTAGCTTACATTCTTATGCCAAAAACAAGAAACAAACTTGAATCTGTATGTACCTTTATTTCTTACAAGTGGGCAGACTTTTGGTTTGACGACCAAACCTATAAAGAAAACACTTATTCAGACCTTCATGAAGTTTTATTAAACAAAAAGAAACCTCTTGCTACATTTACAAGTCATTGGAATCCAGAACCATCAGCAATCAACATTCCCAGAAGTAATCAATGTGCTAAAGGAGCAATTAAAGTAATGGAGGAGCTTTATAGATTGTGCAGAAATAAAGACAATCTTCCACTTCGTTTCATTTTGTCTAATAAACAATAACTGTATGTATTTAAATTGTATAAAATGTTTTTTCCTGCATTAAATATAACACTATGCCATGTATTAATTGTTAGAATAAATTATGTTTTTTATAGAATCATATGAATGAACATGTTTGCAAATAGAAATGATTTTGGCCATTAATTTTTTTAAAACCTTTTTAAATCTTAATGTGCTTTGGGGCGTGACATTTTTTTTGAACATCGTGAAAGTATTAATATTTTCGCATTTAATGCGTAAAAACTCATCCATTTTTGGGCCAGGGAAATTTTTTTTTAAAAAGTCATATCTCTAATATATATATATATATATATATATATATATATATATATATATATATATATATATATATATATATATATATATATATATATATATATATATATATATATATATATATATGTATATGTATATATATACATATATATATATATATATATATATATATGTATATATATATATATATATATATATATATATATATATATATATATATATATATATATATATATATATATATATATATATATATATATATATATATATATATATATATATATATATATATATATATATATTCATTCGAATATAATAATTTATAATTATTATATTTGAATAAAAAAAAAAAATCTCTACACGTTACATTGTTTCATCTCGTTGCGTAAAAATGTTACGTCATGGTTACGTGAAAATAATAGATATTCATAACCAAACCGTGGAAATAAACTTTAGGTATATTGCAACATATAATATTATGCCTCAATACATAACATTGTTACTGGGAATTTGATTGTACTTTCACAAACTTATTTTTGTTCTTGTTTTTTTTTTTTCAACTCAAGAAACAAAATTGTGTTGTTATATCATCCACAACCCGTAAAAAACTTTTTCTTCAGTAAAAACTTTTTTCTTCGGTATAAACTTTTTTCTTCGGTAAAAACTTTTTTTGACATTCTTGACATTGCTGACATTGGTATACTTGCTTTGCTTCTTTATATTTCAATATAAAGAAGCAAAGCAATTTTCAAAAAATAAATATTTAGATAATATTTGTAAAAAAATTATATAAAAATATTATCTGAATATTTTAAATTTAATTAAGTATTTATAAACATTTACTTTGTATATTACAGGCTTTGTTGTACTATGATAATGTCATTAAATGCAATCAAAAAGATGAAGTAGCTTTTATAAGTCGAGGAGTTTGTAAGGTTGATTAACTTTTTTTATGTTTTAAGATTGTTCTTAATGGAAATAAAGAAGCATTGCATGATTTTAACTTATTTATGATTTTTTTTGTTTGTTTTAAGATTGTTCTTAATCGAAATGAAGAAGCATTGCATGATATTAATCAAGCAAGTACGTTTAATTGCTGTTATTTTATTTTATTTAGAGATTATCAAAACTTTTATAGTTACTTTTGTAAAAACATGGACAGGTTTTAAGTCAAACCTTTATATATCAATAATAACATAATTAATTCTTGCTAATTTTATTTTATGGAAGTAAGGTATCTAACATTCAAATCATGTATGCTTTTTAGGAGTTTACTTTAGTTTCTAGTTTTAAACTTGTTTCACCTTGCACAAATTAAATTCACTAAAAGTAATTCATCGTTCTCAGCTTATCATCCTAAGATAATGATCTGAGAACGAAAATAAGATTTCTTTTTTTTTTTTTGAATTAGGTAGAATGTAAATGTCTTCTTTAACTTTAAAGAAGACATTTACAATGAAATAAATAATTTTTTATTTTGTTAGAAGTTTTTGCTCGTTGTATTTGAGCTATTGCTGAATTTTTATTATAGTTTCTATAAATCCCTACCTGTCCTATGCTTACTACAATCGTGGTATGTTTTTTGAGTTGATAGGGAAACTTAAAGAATCGGAAAGCGATTACAGCAAAGGTATTTCATTTTAAATGAAATTTGTTTTGAAATCTTGCTTAAAAAAATAGTTTTGTATTGAAATCTTGCTTAAAAAAATAGTTTTGATATGCAGTTATAATCAAATGTCCACTTGTAAAATTTTTCCATACAATTATAATGTCGCTGTAACTCTAAGTTATTTAGATTAGGTAAATGTCTAATCCTAATAATCTTTCCCATACGCTTAAGGTGTCTGCTGGTTGCTTAAGGTGTCTGCTGGTTTGCTTTTACCTAAGCTGTCAATTTGCACATGATAAAACTATATTTAAAATCACTAAAATTAGTAACTTTCTTTACATATTTGAAAAAGCAATATTAAAAGGGTTAAAAAAATGCTTTTTAAAATGGGATAATAAGTACTTTTTGAAAATGTCATAAGAACAATAATGCATTTTATTTTACCACTTTTTTTGCGCAAAAAATCTACAATACCTGCTCTTCATAACAAAAAAAAATATTCATTATTTAGCAGTAACTATCCCTATTGAATAATTTTTTTAAGCTTTGGAACTTCAGCCTGGTGATGCATTGATTTACAAAAGACGTAGTGTTGTTAGAGGAAAGCTCGGTGAAAGTGTATCATCAGTTAAGGATTTTCATGAAGCTCTTATCCTGCAAACGTCAAAGAAATAAATATTTTCTTATTATGTACTTTGTTTTTGTGTTTTTTTAATTTATTTAGTCCTGTTTATTAGTTTTTGTGTTTTTATCTCGTTTTTAAAAATTTATTTCCAATTTATTTTTAAGTCATGTTCGTTGAAGTATAATTATTATAACTGTTAATTATTATATTATTTATAAAATATATTGGTTGTATATTGTATATTTTAAATTATATATTGGTTTAACATATTACATACTGGTTTAATATATTACATACTGGTATTTATCTTATATTGTATATTTATCATATATTTGCATTCTCAAATATATATTAGCAGAGTAGAGTGTGGCTAGTTGGTTATAAAAATAAGTTATCAAAGTACGTTGGCGAAGTGATTTAGAAATGTTAATTGGTGAAATGAGTAGGAGAAGTTTGACTTTACTCTTTTATATCTTTTTTTATAACTAAGCTAGAACCTTGAGATTTTTTGCATTAATTAATTTGAATTAACCTCTTTCCAACCATATATAGGGTGTAGTAAGTTTTATATGGCTTCATTTATATATTACTCGTGTCTTGAGATCACTATTGGTTAAAAAACTTGCCGCGGTAACTTTTTTTTTAACAAAGCTTTTGAATGTAAGGATATATATTTAAAAAGGGATGATGAATCTAATGGAGTGCGGACTCTTTTTAACATGTATAAACAATTTATCTACGTTTCTACGCTTAAATTCTTCAAGTTTGATTCATTTAAAAAAACAGTGTTTTTTGAAAAAGTCCGTGTGGAAATGGTAATTATAGCCTTTTCTCAATTTAAAACAAGTATTTAGTCATGTTTCCTTGAAGATTTGGTACTCAGGATTTGTTTATAGAATTTATGTATATAATACTTTTATAATAATACTTTTTTTCTTTCGCATTTTTTTTTTTTATTTTTGTGCTAGATTTTTGATGTTTTCTTATTTTATTTCGGTGCCATTACACAATCGATTTTCCATATTATGAGGTGTTTTGTCAAAATGAGTATGAGGCGTTTTGTCAAAATCATCAGTTTTTCCAGCACAAAAAATGCAATAACTTAGGATCCACTTAATTTTGAAAGTTGAAAGACCTCTTATTTTTTAAGTTTTTTTTAGTTCTATAAAACCATGTTGTTCATAAATAAAAATATCGACAAAAAACATTTTGTGGAATAGCTACCTAATTGTCCTAGAACAACTTCAAGATTTCATTCAGATATTAGAAATATTCAACCTGACGAGTTGTCTGCTTTAATCTTAAAAAGTTTTATAAAATCTTTTAATGAACTGAAAACAAACTATGAGTTTAATGAAGTTGATATATTTAACACTAAAAGAGAAAATCAAGTTTTGATTTAGGCGTTAGATTTTGTTCATAACACAGGTGTTCCATTGTTTGTTCTAAAAATAAATAATAATTTTTAGTACGAATCTTTTCTCTTTGGGGTCAAATGTTTAAAAAAACACTCTCAGAGAACAGACTTACCTTATTGAATAGACGGTCGCATATTGGAAAAACAGTTCGATTTTTGAATTCATATGAGATGAGGAGTATATTATTGTACAAAATATATTATTGAATAATAACCTTTTTCAATAGACGATAAACATGTTACAGATAAAAAGTACACTGTTGATATAATGATTAAAACATTTGAGTACTTTGCAATGACACAAGCTACATATAATCGTCTCTGAGAAGACTTTGAACTTCCAAGCATTACATCATTCACAAGACTAACATCAAAAGTAAAATCTATTCATGATTATATTTATCTTTAAAAGGTCTTATCAAACTTAACATATATTTGACATGAAAAACTATGTTCTTCTATTAGATAAAGTTTACGTTAATACAATGTACCAAGGGGGACAGTTTTCGGAAAAGCAGTTAATAATACAAATGTTCTGCGAATATTTAAGTTTAATGGTTATTACTCTTTATGTAAAAATGCTTTCGGATGTGTGAAATCAATGCAAATTTTCTTTTTGAAAACTAACTTTTTTTATCTACCATAAACGCAGCAAAAGGCTATGTTATTTCTATAGTTTGTGATCGTAACACTAATCAAGACTTTTCTAGAAACTTGAGACAGATGGCGTACTTCGGCAAACAAAAGATAATATATATCTTCTGTATGATTTTGTGCACCTTTTATTTTTGCAATAGTTAAATGTTGATTGGATAATTGAGTTTTTTTGTTAAAAACGGAAAAAAAAGTTGTCAAATGGTCTCACATTGTAGCATTGATTTATTAGAATCAATGCTACAATGTGAGTATGTTTTGCTTAAAATATCTACAACCGATCCTTTAAAAAAACCGAGACAAGGATTAGGAGGTATATAATTTATCACTCTATAACAAATACTAGATAAAGTTGGTATCATAAAAATAAAAATACTTTTGCAATTAGACAAATACGGTGTTAATCATGAATTTACAACATTAGGATATTCTTGTGAAAGATGTGGTTTTTACTTAAATGAATAAAAATGTTTAAAACTTGATAATTTACTAGGATTAGAAAGTATATTATGTATAGATGTCAAAATGACTCTAATTTACATAGTTGAGTATATTATTCAAAATGATAAAGATTTAGACAACTCTTATTTTTATTATGAGAAATTTTGAGACTTTACTGAGGAAATCAGTTGTGGAATGAGTTGAAAACTGAAAAATTGATGAAAAGAAAATGAAGAAAAGAAAGAAGAAAATGAAGAAAATTGAAGAAAAAAGAAGAACATGAAGAAAAGAAAACGGAGAAACTGAAAAAAAAATGAAACTGTGCCTGTTGATTTAGTATCTCAATCGGTAATACATTACTATATTATGTTTGTGAAGTCATTGATAATACATGTATATCTTCTTTGCGCAATCTAGTAATGCTAATATCGGAATTTTATCAAATAAATATGAACAGAAACCATGGTGTCAGACTTTCAAATATTTTAAACTGTTGTAATTTGTATTCTTCAAGGTCTGACAAAAAACAAAAACTTTTAAAACTTTGTGCTTAGTAAAAAATGTCAACAGCAATTGTTTCCTTTTAAATTGAACTGTTAAATTTAAATAATTATATTGCATATAGTTAACAGAATTAAAGAAAAAAGTATTATTATTTTTAAATATATTTTTAAAAGATTTTGTTGTTTAGTTTTATTTCTTCCTTAAAAATTAATTTTTACATTTAACTCGGGGGGGAGGGAGGGAGGGGGGAGGGGAGTTCTGTTTTTTTGTTTGTTTGTTTTAATTAAGACTCGCCTCCAGTTTATGAGGTCATCTTTACGGTGACATTTCGTCACATTAGAATTATAGGGTTCTATCTGCCTTTTTTTATGTCGTGAGAACTTAACTTTCAATATTCGTTTAATACATGTTTTATAGCTGTTATTCATTATAACTATAAATTATAAGTTGTTTATGTTATCTATATTAACCACTTAAAAAATAATATATAATATACCATTTTAAGTGGTTTGTTTTTATTATTTATTATTATTTAAAACTTTGATTGTTAAATTCTTTCAACATAAAACAAGACAGATAGAATCTTATAATTCTCATGCGACGATTTATAATTGCGCTGCAATGATTATACAATCCAGCTGGTTATTCTTAAAGCAATAAAAAATTCAATTGAACTTTCTAAAGCTATAAAAAACTGTACTAATTTAGTATCACACACACAAAGAAGTGTTTTCTCTACAACCAAGCTTCAAGATGCTTGTGAAAAACTTGGAATTAAACACCGAAAATTAATTGTTTCATGTACAACACGATAGAATTCGAATACATAAGCATAAAATTATTCCTTAAAGGAAAAGATAAAATCAAAACACTTTAAAAAACCAATGATGAGTTTGTTAGATGATGCCCTTTAGATGATCGATGGAAAGCATTAGAATACAGCATTCCATTTCTTGAAAAAAATTATAATATTTCTGTAACTTTATCAGCCAATAAAAGACCAACAATTCAAGACGTGGTACAGTCGTGTGCAGTAAAATAGTAGTGCGCATTTTATTTTTCTATCACCAAACTTTGAACATCAAAATATATTTTTCTATTGTTTGCTTTTTATCGTTATTGTTCATAAACTAAATGTTGTGATTATAATAGTATAAAATTTAAGAAAGATAAGAAATCTGCTTAGAAAAAGACTGAAACAAGATATTTCAACACGCAGTGCTTCAACAATGACTAAATTGAGTTTAGAAATCGATCACTATTTAGCAGCCGAAACAACTGAATAAACGACAAATATTTTAGAGTGGTGGAAAGTTATAAAGTTGCAGTATCCAAATTTAGCAAATTACGCACAAAAATATCTTTGTATACCAGCAAGTTCTGCAACTTCGGAGAGAGTTTTTTCTACTGCTGGTAACGTCGTCACTGCTTCTACGCACCAACCGCCAACGTAGTAGTTCTTCTGAACTACGTTGGCGGTTGGAAATGTTGAAAAAGTTATTTATATAAAAGAAAACATTATGAAAAATGAAAATTAATTTTTAATTTTCTTTTGTACTTTTCAGAGTCTGTAATTTTTTAAATTTCATTCTAAATTTGTTAAATAAATGACCTCTAATACTTTGTTTTGTTTTTAACCAAAACTAAACCAATTAAAAAAAAAATTTTAACCAAAGCGAAAAAACCAAAACGTTGGCTTTTTACGGTAGAAAAAGATTTTTGTACCTTCTGTGTTTAATTTGTGGATTTAAAAATTTAAAGAAAGAAAACAAAGATATTCCTAGAAGAGCTGTAAATAGCATCAACTATTAAATGGATATAGCCTTTTACGTTACTCTTTGTATATTGGGGATGGTGACAAGGCACCATTTAATAAAGTTAAGTTATCTAAACCATATTCCGAAATAAAAACCATTGTAAAACTGGAATGTGTTGGCCACGTACAAAAGCAGTTAGGTACACAATACTGCAGATTGCTGCCAAGTATGTAGTGGAAATTACTCAGTTCTGGAAAAAAAAAATGGGGCAGATCAAAAAATAAAATAATAAAAAGCTTCAAAATTAATATAGAATGGCAATAAGGGTGAATAAAATGTTATATCTATTGAAGAAATCTGATAAAGCAGTGTTATTTCATAATGCGGTAGTGGTGTAGTGGTAGAGGGCTCAATTCGTAAGTGAGAATTTAAGAGTTCAATCTCTACCACGTCTCTGGTAGTACCGTACTCAACTTGTTTATTCGCACCGCACTATTTTTGTCAAGGTTCGCAATTTATTTGCGATGAATTGCTATTCAACTGCAATAAATAGTGGAAAATTGGTTGATGACTTTTTTTGATTTTTTTAATTATTTCCGCATTCCAGGCTGCTCTTGAAACTAAAGTCATTTGGTAATGTTGTAATACTGTTGCTATGGTATAAAGCTTCTTTAGCAAATTCAAAACAGAGAATGGTTTTGGAAGTATTTGAAGAATCAGAATGGTAATTAGTTTGTTGCTATATGGAAAAACCGCCACAAAAATATTTTTTGTTGAAAAAAAGGATTTAGAGATCGGAGTTCACCATTTTTAATGAAAAAGCTGGTGTTTTCAAAGGTTTTAAAGGATTAAAAATTTCTTTCTGACATTTTTTGAGGAAAGTATATATTAAAAAAAAACGAACAAATCAGAAACACGAGGAGAAAATCTTCTAAAAAGGGAATTGAACATAGAAAAGTTCTTGATAATATAATAAAAAATTAAAAAAAAAAAGTAATAAAAAAAAGAATTAGAAAAACAACCAGCTTACTTTTTACAATGATTGGTAACTGACTGTCAAAGTTTATCATTTTTAAATTTTTAAAAAACTCGTTGTTGAGGATTTAAAAATGTACTCTCAAGTTTTTAATAAAGGAGGGGGAGGGTATTTATTAACTTTTAGATAATTTTTCCAACCACCCTAAGCTGATTAAGACCCCCTGTTTATTAAGGTGGTAGACTGCTGAAAAAATTATTTTTGTATTTTACAATATTTCAATAAATTTTTTTACTTCGAACATGATAAATACATTAGAAAATTCATAATTTTTAATTTTTTTTTTTTTTTTTTCATATATATTTTGGGCTAAAACAGGTGATTTTAGGCCAAAAACAGGCTAAAATCTTGGCAAAGATATCTCAAAAAGTATAATTTATTAAGTTCTAATTTTTTGTATTTTTATTTGTTTTATGTAGATAAATGTCCTGAGATAAAAATTTTTGTTGAAAATTTATTTATTTTAAAGTATCGTTAGATTTTTCAAAGCGCCCAATTAATCATCTAATTTCTGATATTAAGAACAAAAAGTTTGTTGTTTTAAAAGTTTATATTCTAAATTTTTTTATCTCAGGACATAAAGCTTATTATAATGAATCTCTGTACAAAATTTTAAGTCAATTGGACAATTACAGCTCCTGCAATTTTTGCCAGAAAATTAGAAGAATAAAACAAAGAAAAAAGCATATAAAATTAAAAATATTGAATATACAAACTTATTAAAATCCCCCTTTTTTATATGCTGCTCTTCTTAATTTTTGTATTTTTTATTAAACCCTTTCCTAGTTTTTCTTTGTTTTTTAATTTTTTTTTTGTTACTAACCTTAACTAGCGGTTGCTATGAGCGTTGCTAGGGGAAACAAAATTACCCTACTAAATTTTTTTTCTCATTCGAAGATCTATATATTTTTAGACTCTACATCAGTTACTGTTTAAAACAATGCCACTTTTGAAAAATCGTTTTTTTCTAACTTTTTTAGCAGTCTACCACCTTAATTTTTACTTGTTATCAACAACGACAACAAAAATCAATAAAATCTGGCCTTCAAATTTAGAAAATAATTCTTTCAATCACGGATAAAAACAAAAATATTCAGTGTAAACAGGCTTTAAAAATCGCCGATCGATTTGTCGAAAACGAGTTTTTGGTTTATTTCTCACCAAAGTATAAAACTTATATGAGTGCATATCCCATTTTATTATTATAAAACAGCTGTTAGAAAATGCGCATTTGACCGTCTGCCACGCAAGAATTAAACAGTTTCATGTGTTTTTAAAAAAATATTAGTTTGGGTTTGTAAACTGAAATTTTTATAATACTTATATTGTAACATAAAAAATCACCCCCTCCCCCCTCCCTTTTATTAGATCTGGGCTAAAATCCCCACCCCCACCTTCCCCCCTCCACCCTCCATGTATTAAGGACTCAAGAGTGATTACAAAAAAATTACAAACAAACTTAACATTGCCTAGCCAAAAAGTCCTAAGGACCAATAGGATTTTGGGGAAAAAAAAGCTTTGATAAATATAAACACTTTTTAAACGTTTTAATTTAATGGGGTTCAAATCTGAAATTTTTTATGTACCAAATTCTTATCGGATCCTATAGAACTTTTTTACTAGGGTTTCTCTACAACTAATTTTAATAAATATCTCAGATTAGAAAAAGATTGTTTGAAAACTGGTTGCATTGAGAGATGTACTGAGAAAAAGTGTACTTATTTAGGAAAAGACTGATTTTTTTTTCTAATCATCTTGATAGGTCTTTTTTTTCCCGCGGTTTCTTTGTTTTTATAAATGTTTTTGATTTTAAATGGATTGGAAATTTTATAGTTTTAAGTGTTTACAAAAAAACAATTTTATAGAAGTTTAAATTTTATGTTTTTTGTAAGATATTTTATCTACCTGTAAAGTAGTACTGGAAAACTTAAAATTACATTAATGGTCCGAAGTAAACGCATATCTCAAATAAACGCAGTCAGGTGAAGCTTTAACTGGCTGGAATAATGCATAGTAAGGAATAAGATTTCTTATCGAAAAAAAAACAAATATAAAAATTGCGGAAACTCGACAAATTGTTGTATATAAAAAATGTAGATGCAATATATTATTTTCTACTCATAAAAATTTTCCACGTTAGAAAGTTAACAATTGTTTACAAACCTATCAAATCGACAAGTTAAAAACAAAAAAGAAAAATTAAGCTAAAGTCAAGTATAGTTGAAATGTTTCTTCTGAAAAACTGATTATTAATATATCAAAAGTAAATATGTAGATGGAAAGATTCGATTTTGGTTTTGATAACTTTATGTAAGTCTTGTACTGTTACTATAAGTCCTTGCATTTAGAAAATTCATAATTAAATCTCGCACAACCCCTTCTAGAATTTTAAAAGGTACAGAGGTGAGGGAAATCGGACAATAATTCAACGGCGACAGTTTACTTTCTTTTTTAAATTGACGACTAATATTAACTGATTTCCACTGAACAGGTAATTCACTAAGCACAATGGAAGTTGTAAATAATTGTGCAAGCGGTAAAGCTATTCCATATACGTAATTTTAAATACGAGCTATTCCATGTACGCAAGATTAAAGGTTTAATAAGATCTGCTCCACACGACTTCTCTGTATTCAAACGTTCTAATCAATTGAGAATATCTTTGTATGAGATATAAATACATCTTGAAACTAGTTATTTAGTAAACTTACGATCTGAAGTGGGTCATTTGTCGCTATTTCATTTTCATTATATAAAGCTTTTACCGAGTTATTGATCAGTTGTTGGCTATTCACATATTTTTAAATTACCTTTAGGATTTTTTTAGCTAATGTCACTAGGTCTTTTTCATAATTTTGTCTAGTTTTTCTTGATTCGTTTTTGACTATCTTGCAAATTTTTTTGTATTCATTCAAAAGAAAAGAAACTTTCCACCCTGAGGAACAGTTGCGAAATCTAAGGGTCGTTTTTAATTAAATTATTTTTTACCCAAAATATTCGCTTTTTTTTAAAATCTAATTTTTTAATTGGAATATATATTTTATACGTTGCAGCCATGTAAAATTTAAATATATTATACATTTCTTGGACTGATTTGCCATTAAAACACGCTAACTAATCCACATTGGAAAACAATCTATTAATTGAATCGAAATTTGCTTTCCTATTATCTCGTACAATTACATCATTTATAAAATTTTTTAATTTAGAACTAAGTGTCCTCTTTCAATATTTGGAAAAGAATTGTGCTGAATGAGAAAGTGATCATTCAAAATATCATAAAATCTGTATTTATGAGAGTTATCATTGTTTTCAATCAATTTTAACACCTTTGGACCATTTAATGTTAGGAAAATTAAAGTCCCCCATAATTATAATATCCTTGAAATTGCATTTATCAACATAGGATCTTGCAGTCTCAAATAATATTTTCAAAATAGATTTTCATATCAACTATTCTGTTTGGTCTGTATATACAGACCAAATAAAATAATTTTATATACGCTATAAGCTATCTTTTCACGTTTAAGAAAAGTATTTGATTCAACTATCCGCACACTATTTCGCAATAAAGTGTTTGCAACAAACATAATTCGTACAAACGCCTTTGCACCTAGTATATGGTGACGCATTTAACGATCATGCACGGTATTTTACAATGGAAGGGACTAAGAGACTTTATAAAAACGATTATACTGTGAAAAATCTCTTCATTTTTTTTTATTTTGATATAACATCTGAAGAAAAAAGCTTTCTCAGCATTACAAAATTTTGTTTGAGATGATAAAATTTTACGCAACTTCAATACTCTATGATAAGATACTTGGAGCTAAAAGAAAAAAAAAACATAAATAAGGGAAATTTATTAATTACATATATAAGACAAATGACTAGATGCATTTTCATTTTCAATAATTTAATTAATTAATGATGTAAAAAAATTTGTCTCAGCTAGAAATATCCTTATCGCTTTTTTTTTCTCGCTAAAAAACAAAAGAAGAATAGAGAGAGAGGAAAGGAAAGAAAGAGAAAAAACAAAAGAAGAATAGATAGGGAGGAAAGGAAAGAAAGAGAAAAAGAAGAATAGAGAGGGAGGAAAGGAAAGAAAGAGAAAAAAAAATCGGAAAATAGTTCAAAGAAAAACAAACAAAAGTAAAAAAGAATCGGAAGAAATAGGAGATGAACATAACTATACTTAATTAAAAAGATTATCAAACTTTTTAAATTTTACTAATTATAGTTCTGTGATTGATATTCGGACGTAAAAGCTGCTCTATGAAGTTAATTGTATTTTTTATAAAATTTATGACTGTGATATAAGTTTATATTAGCATTGGAGAAAAATAAAACGAGGTTTTTCTGTTGGAAAAGATGATTCTGAAATATTTTTAAAAAATGACTTTTTTTGAATTTAATGTTGACAAGATAAAATGATGCATTGAGTGTCATTGACAAATAAAGGAGGAAAAAATTATCGATTTAAATAAAACTAACTGCAATGCCTTCTTAAGAAAAGATAGGACTTTTTGAAACTGTTTCATTAAAAATATTCAAGATATTAATATTCTAACTTTAAATACTAAATAATAAATGTAATAAATACTAAATAATAAATGAAATTGACTCTTTTGCGGATACTTATTATTTACGTACACGTTTACCATTTAATGAAAAATGAAATACCATTGGACATAATTGGCACAATTAGCATTATAAGTAGTCAAAATAGCAACATGCAACTAAAACAACTTTAAAAACAGAAAGATGCAACTGTATTGCAAATTGTCTTGGTAGTGCATACATAGCATTTTTACTTTTTATGTTTAATTAAATGGTATTAAAGTTAATAAGCCATAAACTTCTTAAAAGATTATTGCTTCTGTTTTAAAAGAGTTTTGACTAAGCAATGTGTGACAGCTCTATGATATTTTCATAGCTACGTATCTGAATAATTATACTATTAGCTTAAGACTAACATGTTTTTTTTATTTTTTTATTAAAGTTTTAGGTGTTAAATCTTTACAAATACATGCAGGCATTATATATATATATATATATATATATATATATATATATATATATATATATATATATATATATATATATATATATATATATATATATATATATATATATATATATATATATATATATATATATATATATATATATATATATAAATATGTAGTTTTATTTATAATATATATATATATTATAAATAAAACTACATATTTTCACAACTATAAGTTTCATGCTAAATGCAATCATCAGGTTTTGCCAGTCTGTCATTATTTCTAAAAATTTTCCAGATTTAGGAAAAAATGTTTGAACACAAACAATACACTATTAAAACGAGTCAAAAAGTTCCAGACCTAACCACTAGATGACGCCGTCTAACAAATTATTTTTATGCACCCACAGTATAGCCAAGATCTGTGCACAGGCAATTACCAGCTATTTCCCGAACAAATAGCATTAAAGTAGCATTTAAAAAATTTATGAATAAACAACACATTTTAAAATAAATAATACTACTATTATAAATCAAAAGCCAAGAACGTTCTTCAGTGAGCTTCAAACTATAATAAACAATACAACATATCTACCATTTAAAAAGATAAAAAAATTTCTTTTAAATTTAATAAGCAAGATAGCAAATGATTAGCAAATAAGTAGAAATAAAAAGTGAAAAGAAGATATTGCGATAAAATCTGTAGGTAAGATTTGTTAAGGGATAAGATTCGGATTAGGTTGGATTACATCATCCAAGTCATACTTTAAAAAGCTGTAAAATTGTTTGAATAAAATATCCAGAAAAATCTGGAATATATTTTTCCTTATTTTCCTTTTAATTTCGTTTTTAGCTGAGTTGTTTCTAATTTTTTTTCAAACCTTTCATAATTTTTGTATGAGTGATGAGTGAAAAAGCTTAAAAAGCAAATATATCACAAAAATATACACCTAAACTTGCATGTATGGATGTTTTGGATATCCGGAAAAACTAAAAGTTGAAAAAAATATCTGGAAAAAGATAATCCCTGGATTAAAGAAGCATTAAAAACAAGAGTAAAATAGAAAAAGTTATATACTTAATTCTACTGTACAAAATGTAACAGAAAATCTAACAGTAAAAAATAGACAGTTATATCTTATGTATTGAATGCACTGAATAGCAAGTGCATGCATAAAAAATGAAAATCAAATCACTTAAAAAAAAAATAGTTCATGTTATCAAGAGTTTAATGTAGTTTTTATATTGCTATTATAGAAACTTTTGGAACATTTTTCACTTTCATTTTGGTTTAAAACAAAAATTTAACATTATACCATTTGCTTCAGCAGCTAATTTTGCTGCTTTTGCTTCAGCTTCTTCTTTTGTTTTTTTCTCAAAATGAGCAATATCTTCAATTCGCATGTTCCTCACAGTTCCTACAATTTCATTAAATGATTTAAAATTGAACACCAAACTATTAATTATGAAAATGTCCTTAGTTTTTTTGTTAAATTATAAATTAATATTTTATAAAAATAAAAATGTTGCAGAGCATAAAATATAACATGTATAATAATTAAATGGGACTAAGAAAGTTGAATACACATGTGTATGTATGTATATCAACCCTCAGAACTAGGGTCAGCATTAGACAGTACCAACCTAGAAGTGTTTGAAGTTTTGAACCATTGTTTTAGATTTTTTCAGCTGACCTCACACAGATTAAGGTCGAAAAAATCTTTTAGAGGTTGGCAAAAAAAGTTTGATACAATAAAACTTTTACGATAAAACATAGAAACAAGGTCGGCAATTTTTTGACAATCTGAAACTTTTTTAGGTCGGTAGTTAGGTCCGTATTTCCGAATGCCGACCCTAGTTCTGAGGGCTGTATATACATCCTCAGAATTAGGGTCAGCATCTTTAGTTAAATTTTATTAAAACGTTTATTTAAACTTTAAATAGAATAAACTTACGATTATGTATAGCTCCATAGCTAATTCCAACTAGCAAAGCAGACCAACGAGCACCCTGATAAAAAAAAAAAAAACTTTTTTATAATACTCTAAATAACTTTCTTAATTATGAAATTTTAAATCTCAAAATTGAAATTCATATTTTCAGTTTTTTAACCACATTATAGATTACAAAAAAATAAATAAAACATTTGTATAACCTTAAGGGTAATTCCATGTAAAACTGGGATAAAAATTTGAAAATTTCAGTCACCCTCTCAGATTTCTTTCAAATTTTACCCAGTGGTACCTATCAATGTAATATGAAAAAATGTAAAGTTTGAGCTCCCAAATCCAAACGGTTTAAAGTTATGACATTTTGAAATGTAGTTATGACATTTTTGAAATTGCAGTAGTACTTTTTAATGAATTATTCAAGATCTAGTGGCATAATGTTGGTAAAAATTGGTACCTGACCATTTTTGAGGGTGCTGAACTCAAAAATGTAGAGAAATTAGTGAAATTTAAAATTTTTAATGGTTATTTTTTGATTTTAAAATGGTCAGTTAAATTTTTTGTTCTGTTACCAAGGGTTGCGCTTTCATTAACTCTCGGATTTGTCTCATGGATTCAATGCATTATAAAGATGTCATTTTGAAATTTAGACAAAAAACTCCTTATTTGGACTCAAATTCTCTGTCATAGATTTATTAGCAATTGTATGTTTGTAAATAATTTAAGTTTTATTGAAAGAAACTGACTAAAAATTGGTTTAAAAAATTTGTGTAAAAACAGTTTATTGAGGTTGGTTTTGATATATAAATAAAGTTTTGTGAAGAGAACTGTCATATAAAAATTTAGTTTTGCAATGCCTGCTATGACGTATAAATATAGATTTGTGACATCAGTTATGTCGTATAAATATAGTTTTGAAACACCAGATGTACAAGCTTAAAAGTATTTTAATTTCAGATTAAATAATTAAGTCTTGTTTATTAATTCAGTTTGTTAGTCACGGCAAACAGCCAACAGTGCTCCATTGGAATCGAGCTAGAAAGTGAATGTCGTTTTGCAACATTTAGACTTCCTTGTTAAATGCATGAAAGAAAAACTTAAATTCTCTAACTGAAGGCAGCAACTTCAAATTTTGACATTGATGCCAAAATCTTGGTCTATCAACATTAACATTTTGGTCTACCAAAATGTTAAATTAATGTTGAGTACTGTAGGCCTTGAAATATCTTACCATGAAATCATTGAAAAAAGATTGTCTGCAGCAAAAAATCAAAAGCTTGCATGATTCACCAATGCAATAGATGTCCTCACATACAAGCTATTCAAAGTTATTTCCAGCAGTATCTCACACAAAATGATGATCCAAAAGAGCAATATGACATTGACGAAACTGAACAGTCAGTGGATTTCAAACAGTGGACAACAACAGATAAGTCTATTAACAATAAAACTTCCCATAAATGAATTCATAGAGCTCCTGTGTGAAAAACTTGATAAAATTACTTCTCATTCATTTATATATATTGCGGAAATTGATACCTTAAAGCACTTGTGTGATTTAAGGTATCAATATTGACTTTGCAATATTACAATACCAATAGTTTAACCTTTTATTGCAAATTATTGTTACTTATGAATACAATAATAACAATTACTGCATTGTAATGATTTACAATAACTTTTTGTCTTCTTTGATAAAGCAACATTTTAATACCAAATATTAAATGAAAATTAATTACTTAATGAAAATCATAGTTCTGAAATATGGGTTTTCAGTACATTAAGATAAACTAAACATAAATTACATTCTTAATAAATATTTTACATATGCTATTTAAATGTGAATAAGAAAACAAAAGTTGGAAATCAGAACTTCTCCTTATCATAATCAATTGAAATTTTACTTACAACTATTATTGTATTCTATTATATATCTATAAAAACATTTTCTTGTTATTGTATTATATGATAATAGAATTTACAATAACAACAAATTTTGTCATCGTAATGGTAAGATGTAATAAAATAATACAACTTTATGTTTAAAGTATGGTACAATACATGTGTGGTTTAGACAGTTTCCATAAAGCCATTTTTTATTTAGATGCAATATTGAAGAGTTAAGGGTGAATACAAGATTTCTCATGTATTCACTTTTTACTCTTTTTGTAGAACTAAGTATTTATACTCCTTTTGTAGAACTAAGTATTTTTATTGTGGTATAACCTCAAGGATATTACCCCCAAGTTTTATTATCATCCCTTACCAATATCAATTCATAAATTAAAATTTTAAATCAGAGTTTTAGCTCTCTTCAATAAATTTGCTAAAGAGCTTCGTTTGCTAAAGAGCTTCGTTTGCTAAAGAACTTCACTTGCACTAAATATTGAGTTTTCAACTCATATTATTATTTTAATATAGAATTTAATACAATAACAATACATATCATTATTGCATATTGAAGTTAAATACAAAAACAATATATTTATATAGAAAATTAGAACTTCTTAAAAAGAGAACAAAACACTAGATTGCATCATTATTTTTATGCAGAAGGGAGAGAAAAAGACAGTTGGGATGAGAACCAGAGATGGTTTACAAACTTATCACACTTAAAACATTCTTAAAAGTTATTGATATTTATCAGGTAAGATCAATGTTATTCATTCATAATTTTGAACTATTCCCTTTAATAATTAGAAACTAGAATTTTATTCCTAATATTTCCCCTTAAATTGTTTGCTTTTTTATTAAAATGTTTCAAACTTTATATACAGAAAAACCTTTCTTTAAATAAAATAAATGTAATTCACTAATTGGTAATCCTACAGCTACGCGGCCTAAAATAATTTTATTTTTCCGCTTGTCAGTAGAGGCTTTACAAACACTAGGAATATAATTGTAATAATAAAAGAAAAAAGATTACTTCTCCATGCCAAACCCTCAGTCGATGTAGCAGCACTTCCTTGTAGCAGCAGGCTATAAGATAGTCGATGTAGCAAAACCCCCTGGCAAAAATATAATTATTTTAGGCCGCGTAACTGTAGCTTTACCTCACTAATTTGCTATGGCTTTTATAACATACTAATGACAACTGTTAATTATGGTATTATTGTCCTTTTTATATGTTGGTTTTTAAATCATCTGATGGTTTGTAAATAGGTTGTTGTTGCTTTTTTTTTTTTATCTGTTATACCAGTCAACCATTTTCACAAAATAGTGAGTTGAAAATGTAGAGGAGAGTGGGCACCATGATGAAAATTTCATTTAGGTTTTAATAATTATTATTAATTATTTTTAACATGTGCAATTTGTAAACTAAACTTATATTTTCAAAACTATATTCATCAACAAAATAACAGGTTAAACTTTTAAAATAAAATTTAAATTAGAACAGAAAAAAATTCATAGGAATAGAATTAAAATTTTATATCTATTTTAATATTACTTTGTAACCATACAATTTTGAATCATACTGTAATCTCTCAGATAAACCCAAATTTTCTCAAAAATAAGACCATTTAGAAATTCCCTATATTTGAATTTGCCTATGAATCATTTTATACTATAATACAATTACCTCTGTATTACAAACATTTTATACAACTAGTATTAAAAGTAGATATTTACTCTAATATTAATAATACTGTTAATAATTTGAGCGAAAACAAAACCAATATTGTGTTAAGTAACAGCTAGACTTTTTTTAAGTTGATTTATTATGTGTAATTACTTACTCTAATTAATGGAGAAACTGTAACAGGCATTATATGATATGACAATCAAATCAAGCACAAGCACCGAGGAAAAGCAAAAAGTTATCGCCTTGAAGCCGACTCGTTGTAAGAAGATCACCCAGC